TGGCACTGAGCGAGTAAGACCATAGGTGGCAGACCCCAGCCGAGGGGTGGCAACCAGCAGACCCAGCAAGGCGGCTATTGTGAAGTGAGGCACTGCTTGCAACCCAGGATGCCAGCGCCGGGAAATAGAGCCTTGGGAGCACTGATTGAAAACACCTGTGGAGGTTGAGGGGCAGGGAGAGACTCCCAACCTCACGGAGAAGTTGTTGGAAAGCCCTACGGGGTGCACAAGCCCACCCACAAGGGAATGAGCACCAGAGGGGCCCAGTTTGCTTGGGGGAAGTGGTGGATGGGACTGAGGTCCCACGAAGAGCAGAGCAAGTGCCATTGTTCCCTCTCGGACCCTGCCCCCACATACAACATCACAACCCAGTGACTTGGGTGCCCCGCCCTGGTGAACACCTAACGCTCCGCCCCTCACACAAAACAGGTGTGACCAGACCAAAGGAAGAAGAAGAAAAAAAAAAAGATGGCTCAAACAGAAATGAAATTCTCGCAACCTGTACTTTTAAGCGACTAAGAGATAGCCAACCTATCAGATGCACAGTTCAAAGCACTGGTGATCAGGATGCTCACAGAATTGGTTGATTTGGTCACAAATTAGATGAAAAAATGAAAGCTACACTAAGTAAAATGAAGGAAAATGCACAGGGAACCAATATTGATGGAATGAAAGGTGGGTCTCACATAGATGGAGTGGACAAGGAGGAAGAAAAAAACATACAATCAGAAAAGAATAAAGAAATAAGAATTTTTAAAAAAATGATGAGAGGCTTAGGAACCTCCAGGACACCTTTAAACAATCCAACATCAGAATTATAGGGGTACCAGAAGGAGAAGAGGAAGAGCAACAAGAGGAAAAGTTATTTGAACAAATAATAAAGGAGAACTTCCCCCACTCTGGCAAAGAAAATAGACTTCCAGGAAGTCCAGGAAGCTCAGAGAGTCCCAAAGAAGTTGGGTCCAAGAAGGAACACACCAAGGCATATCATAATTACATTAGCCAAGGTAAAAATGAAGGAGAGAATCCTAGGGGAAGCAAGAGATAAGGAGACAGTAACCTAGAGAGGAGTTCCCATCAGACTGTCAGCTGATTTCTCAAAACTGACCTTATGCCCTGGCTGGCATAGACTAGTGGATTGAGCGCAGGCTGCGAACCAAAGCATCGCAGGTTCGAGTCCCAGTCAGGGCAAATGCCTGGGTTGCAGGCCATGACCCCGAGCAACAGCACATTGATGTTTCTCTCTCTCTCTCTTTCTCCCTCCCTTCCCTCTCTAAAAATAAATAAACAAAATCTTAAAAAATAATAATAAAAAAAAAAGAGATCTTACAGGCAAGAAGGGGCTGGAAAGAAGTATTCCAAGTCATGAAAGGCAAGGACCTACATCCAAGATTGCTCTATCCAACAGAGCTTTCATTTACAATGGAAGGGCAGGTAAAGTGCTTCTCAGATAAGGTCAAGTTAAAGGAGTTCATCATCACCAAGCCCTTATTTTATAAAATGTTAAAGGGACTTATCTAAGAAAAAGAAGATTAAAAACATGTATAGTAAAATGACAGGAAACTCACAATTATTAACAACCACACCTAAAACAAAAAGAAAAAAACTAAGGAAACAACTAGAAGAGGAAAAGAACAAGAGAAATGGAGATCACATGGAGGGTTAGCAACAGGGGAGTGGGTGGAGGAGAGAGGGGGGAGAAAGGTACAGAGAATTAGTACCATAGATGGTTGGTAGAAAATAGATAGGGGGAGGGCAAGAATAGTATGGGAAATGTAGAAGCTAAAGAACTTATGACACATGGACAGGAACTCAAGAGGGGGGAATGTGGGTGGGAGAGGGTGTGCAGGGTGGAGGGGAATCAAGGGGGGGTAATGGGACAACTGTAATAGCATAATCAATAAAATATATTTTTTAAAGAAGAAAGAAAATAGCCGAGAGTTGGTTAAGAATAGTATAGAGAATGTAGAAACCAAAGAAGTTGTAAGTATGACCCATGGACATGAACTAAAGAGGGGAATGCAGGTGGAGGCGGTGTGCACGGCAGAGGGGAGTAAAGGGGGAGGGAGGAATGGGACAACTGGAATAGCATAATGGATATATTTGATTTAACAAAAAGAAACCAGTTCCTCAGTTATACTACCCCTGTTTGAAGTGTTCACAGCCATGTGCGGTTAGTAGCTACCATGTTGGAGAGCACAGATCCAGAAGAGTACCTTCAGTGTAGAAAGTTCTCCTGCACAGCCTCATGAGATCCCCCCACCCTGCCCACGGGAAGGTCAGTATGGTTAGACCATGCCTGGTGGACTGGGGCAGGGCCCCAGGGGTCAGCTGCCTGGCAGAGAAGGACGCCTGCAGGGCGGGTGGACAGAGCTCTTCTTGAGAGAGGGGGGCTCAGGCAGCCTGCAGGGGGCTGGTGGGGCTGGGCCCTGAGAGCATGGCCCAGCAGGGAGGCGAGGGCCCTGAGAGGTAGAAGGGTGGGTTCCAGCCCTGGCTGGGAGAGGGGCCTGGGAGGGAGGGGTTTCAGTGCAGCACAGGATGGGGAAGAGCACCTGGCTCAAGCAGACTGGGAGGAGAAGCAGAGGGGTGTTGGGAAAGGGGGGAGCCCCAGCTGGGGGCAGGTGGTGACAACACCCTTGCACCAGCCTCTGGGGGACCTTCTGCTCCCGGCTCCTGGGCTGCGCTGCTGTCTTTGCTGGGTTGGGGGTGGGTGTGGAGACAGTGCCCAGGGGCCAGCCCCACCATCTAGGGCTTGGCTCCCACAGCCTCAGACATCCTGCCCACTCCTGCCCTGGCTCCTGTTTCCCTGTCCCTGTGCCTTCCCTGTGTCTCCATCTCTCTGTCTGTCCATCTCTCTGTGTCTCTGTCCCTCTCTCCACCCAAGGAGAAGCCCTGGAGGCCAGTCACTGGGACCACGTCCACAGCTTGTCCTTCGTCTTCCCCTGTGGGCCCCTCAGTCTGCCTGTGGCTGGCAGAGTGGGGCTCACCTCACGTGCTGCTCAGAGGCCCTCCCAGGGCAGGGTTTGCAAAGGGAGTCACAGCCAGTGAGAGGCAGCCCAGCGATCCCAACGCCTGTTTGCCCGACCCAGAGGCTGAGGTCCTCTCCAGCCCTGGGGCAGCTGCCAGCCCTGGTGACAGCAGCAGCTGCTGAGTGTGGAGCATCTGTCAGTGCCCCTCAGCCCATTGGGAAGGGGCCCTGCGTGTGCGGCACGTGACCCGGAGGAACGCAGGACTGGGCAGGTCTCATGCCCTGGTCTAAACACGCACATGGAAACCTCCTTCCCTCCCAGTTGGGCTCCTTGGGGACCCTGAAGCCAAAGGAAAGTGGGGGGTCCAGGAGAGATCTGAGGGGTCCAATGTCCTCAGGGTGCTGACCCTCCTCCCACCCTGCAACAGGCCCCGGTGTGCAAGCTGGAATTGATCAAGAGCCCCCTGGGGCAATGCCTGGGTATGACACCGGGTTGCACACAGGCCTGTTTCCCCTTCCTTCTCCCGAGGCTGAGTGCGCAAGCGGCCCCAGCACCAGGCTGCCACCTTCCAAGGGGCCCTGTCCAAGCACCCAGGAGTCCCACAGGCCCACAGAGGCCAAAGGCTACCCCAGACCCTGATTCCAGCCTGTGGAGTGTGGGGTCCTGAAGGCTGGAGGCCAAACAGCCAAATCAGAGTTTGGAGGGGCCCTGGACACTGGTGAGGAAGCAGACTGGGTTCTGGGGAGAGCCTGGAGCCCGGAGGAGGTGCAGTCCGGGGGCTGTGGCTGCACCTAGGAGGGGAGAAGATGGTGGTAGAGGCCAGGGCAGGGGCCAGGGCAGGGGCTCTGGCAGAGGTCCGAGGGGAGTGTCCCCAGGAGGAAGGAGGGGCAGGCAGCTGCTCCCCAGCCTTTCAGCTCAGGGCTGGTGCAGCGGGCACCTGCCCAAACAGCAGGCCCAGCCACCTGGGCACGGCCAGGGCTAACCCCGGAAGTCCTGAACTCAGAGATGCACACCAGCTGTCGTCTGGGCCTGATAACTGGTGGCCCGAGAGAGGGTGTCCCCAGTGAGATGTGAGGCCTGGGAGGAGAAGCAGCCCAGGATGGCCCTGGGCAGGCCCTCCATGTTAAAGGAAGGGTGCTGGGGGAGACCAAGAAGCAGCTTCCAGGGAAGGAGGAGGGACACCAGGAAGGGGCCCCAGGTGACGATGGGACAGGGGCACTTTCATGAGGACAGAGCGGCCACCAGCAGCTGGGTAGACAAAGACGAGGGATGAGTGGCCACTGTCCCCAGTGAGGGCTGGCCAGCCTGCAGTGGCTCTGAGTGGGACAGCCAAGAAGTGGAGTGTGGTTGTGGGCTGCCCTTCCTCGGCCTCGGCGGGGCAGGGGCCAGGGCAGCAGCCACATCTGGTGGGGACTAGGGACAGTTTCAGACCAGAAAGCAGTGGAGAAGAGCCCGGGAGAGGGGGCGCGTGTCCCCAAGCCGCCGAACTGACAAGGGCTGGGTCTAGAGCAGGATGAAGTGACCTTGGAAGCCGCCCTTGGGACTGGCTGGGGGGTAAGGCTGCAGGTGGAGGTGGTCACTGTCATTCACTCTTCCAGCCTGACCTGAGAGCCTGCTGGGTGCCGGGCAGGCCTGGGAGGAAGACCTGCTGGAGAATTCCCCACACAGGGGCGGGCTCGGAGGCCGTCCCCAGTGGGGGGAGGATGCAGAGCTGGGCCCGACTCCCTTCCTCTCCTTGGGATATTTCAACTCCCTTGAGCAACCCCAGATGAAACTTCCCTGAGGGGCCCAGGACAGGCCGATATGGTGTCAGGAAGATGGAGAAAGGATTTCTTCAGGTTGCACAGGAGGCAGACCTCGCCCACTGTCCAGCAGGACCCCTGAGGCCACAGCAGAGGTGAGGCAAGCCCAGCCCACACCTGGCAGGTGGCCAGGGATGGGGCAGGTCAGGGAGGCTCCTGGTGGGGCTGTTGCAACAGGCCCAGGCATAAAGGAGGGTCGTTCAGGTCGGGAGGAGGCAGACTGGGGACCATGGAGACCCAGAGAGACAACCTCCCCTGGGGACGCTGGTCACTGTTGCTACTGCTGCTGGGCCTGGCAGTGCCTCCAGCTACTGCCCAGGACCTCAGCTACAACCAGGCTGTGCTCGCTGCCGTGGACGGCTACAACCAGCGGTCCTCGGAAGCTAATCTCTACCGCCTGCTGGAGCTGGACCCGCAGAGGCCCGATGCAGTGAGTTGGGGAGGATGCCCGGGAGGGGGGCTCTGGGCCAGCCAGGTGGGCCACACTGCCACTGCCTTTGCTCATGCAGGACCTGTGGTCAGGGGGGCACTACTCCCTTTCAGTGCGACTCCCTCTGTTCCAGGAGACCTTCCTGAGCTGTGTCCCTTCCAGAGGACAGTCTCCTCCCTGAGAATCTATAACATGCAAAGAGGCGCCCCTTCCACACCCCCATTCAGGCTTCAGGACTCCTGCCAGTTCCGGGAAGAAGAATGGGGTCACTGGGTCTGGCTGTGACCTCCCTGCTTCACGTTTCCCCTTGCTCTTGCGTGTCTCCCACACAGGGATGGCCCCGCTCCGCCCCGGGGTGCCCGGGACAATGCCTTTCCTGCAGGAGGCCCCTGGTTTCCCTCGGTTCCCCAAACTTGTGTGCGGTCCACTCCTGCACTCTGTGTGCCCGGGGAGGGCAGCAATGGGCTCTGTCCTGCTCGCCTCTGTCCCCCAGCACCCAACCTGGTGCCAGGGACCCAGTTGGGTTGTTGACAGCCCCTCCCCTCAAATAAGCTTTTTAAGAAAAAGATTTTATTTTTTATTTTGTAGAAAGGGGTATGGAGGCAGAAAGAAAGAGGGAGAGAAACATGGACTGGTGTCCAGGGGCCCACCCGCAACGCAGCCGCGTGCTGGGAGTGGGAAGCAAAGCGAGTGGCAGTTCGGGGCCCAGGCTGAAGCTCAGCCCTCTGAGCCACAGCAGCCGGGGCAGACACCCCTTGTCTCAGAGAAGACGAGCTGGTGCCCAGTCCGGGTCTCCCCACTCTCTCTCTGGCCAGGGACGACAACCCCAGCACCCCGAAGCCGGTGAGCTTCACACTGAAGGAGACCGTGTGCCCCAGGACGACGCAGCTGCCACCGGAGCAGTGTGAATTCAAGGAGAACGGGGTGAGGTGGGGCTCGGGGCCCAGGGGGCCACCCGAGACGCTGAGTGATGGGCATCTGGAGCGCAGTTCCAGACTTGGGGGTGAGCCCGGAGGGTTAAAGCACAGAGATTCCCGTTTGACCTCAAGCCTCCTCTTTTCAGCTGGTGAAACAGTGTGTGGGGACAGTCACCCTGGGCCAGGCCGGTGGCTACTTTGACATCAACTGTGCGGAGGTGAGTGGCCCCTTCTGTGTGTAGGGACCCATGGGCGGTGGTTCATGGAACATGCTATGGACCCTTTAAACACTGCTCCTTCCAGGGCCCAGCTAGCACCCTGCCCTGGGCTACTTCCAGAGCCACTGACTTAGAGATGAGAGTTCAGCCCAAGATCCATTGAGTGTTGCTGGGATGGGCTCTGTGACCTTGGGAAGCCAGTGGCCATGTCTGGGCCTCAGCTTCCTCTTCTCCTGATGGGTGCAGGGATTCAACCACATGTTCCGAAGGTCACTGCCAGAGGGCGACTGGATCCACAGGCTCCTGGGGCGGCCCAGGAACATTGGGTGCACAGGTGGGGAGGGGTCCTGACGCTGGATGCAGCCCCCACAAGGAGACTGTTTCTTCCTCATGACAGATTCAGGGTGTCGGACTGGGTCGCGAGTTGCGGAGGCCTAGCAGAAATTCGCAGAGGGATTCGCAGACTGTGGATGGGCTTTAGTATTTCCCCCCATCGGCTAAGGGTCTGTTTTGGCCCTGGGTCCAACTCTGGACTCTGAAAAATAAATCCTTGTGAAAGCAACTTTCTCCAGGCTTCAGTTTCACCTGTCTTGCCTTCCCCCACTTACCACCACCTACTCTGGGAGGCCGCGTGTGTGCGGGTGCACCGTGTGCGCATGTGCGGGCAAAACACAGGCATGGGCGGGGCGGCTGCTCCATCCAGGAGGACACGGGCTGAGGCAGCAGCCCAAGGGGCCCAGGACAGTGCCTCATTCTCAGGGTCGCCCCCCACACAGCTTCAAATCCCTTCTGCCTTCCTCCTTGAGGACCTAGTAGGGACTTAAGGAGATCTACTCAGTGTGCAGCACAGCTGGGGATGCTGCCGAGCTGTCCCTGCTCTTACAGGGGTGATCCTGCAGGGGGCGCCAGACATTTGTTAAACACTCACAGGGATGCAGGTCAGTGTCAGGGCTGGCTGGGTTCTGAGGGCAGCAGGGTTCCAACGCCCATAAAGTTCCAATTCCCCTTGAAAATCGTTACTCTGCAAAAGCCCTCCACACAGTGGGGTGGCCCTCACCAGGCACTCCCGGCAGTGAGCTGTTTCCCGGGGTGGCTGAGAGACCAGACCCTGCAGACAAAGGTCTGCCTTTCCCCTGTAGGTGAGCGTCTCAGACCTGAAGTGCTGGTCCTGGGCGCAGGAATTGGGATGTGGTTGGTGAAGGGCGGAGACAAGACTCAGGTATGGCTTCAGGCCTCGGCCCAGCATGATGAGTTTGCTTCCCACTGATGCGCTTATATGGAGTCCCGCAGGGATGGTGGCTGAGCCAGGTGGCGGGGCTCTGTGACATGCTGCCCTCCAGGGGAGCACGTGCTGGGCCAGGCACGGCCAGGGGAGGGCAGCCTTGGGCAACCTTTATATCCCCTAATCAATTCCTCTGGTCCTTCTTCTTCTTCTCCTCCTCCTTCTCCTCCCCTATCCTCCTCCTCCTCCCCCTTCTTCTTCTTCTTCTTCTTCTTCTTCTTCTTCTTCTTCTTCTTCTTCTTCTTCTTCTTCTTCTTCTTCTTCTTCTTCTTCTTCTTCTTCTTCCTCTTCTTCTTCTTCTTCTTCTTCTTCTTCTTCTTCTTCTTCTCCTTCTCCTTCTTCTTCTTCTTCTTCCTCCTCCTCCTCCTCCTCCTCCTCCTCCTTCTTCTTCTTCTTCTTCTTCTCTTCCTCCTCCTCCTCCTCTTTCCCCTTCTTCTTCTTCTCCTACATCTCTCCTTCTTCTTCTCCTTCTTCTTCCTCCTTCTTCTCCTTTTTCTTCCTTCTTCTTCTTCTTCTTCTTCTTCTTCTTCTTCTTCTTCTTGTCTTCCTCCTCCTCCCCTTTCCCCTTCTTCTTCTTCTCCTCCATCTCTCCTTCTTCTTCTCCTTCTTCTTTCTCCTTCTTCTTCTTCTTCTCTTCCTCCTCCTCCTCTTTCCCCTTCTTCTTCTTCTCCTCCATCTCTCCTTCTTCTTCTTCTTCTTCTTCTTTCTCCTTCTCCTTCTCCTCCTCCTCCTCCTTCTTCTTGTTCTCCTCCTTCCCCTCCTCCCCCTCCTCCTCCTCCTTCCTATTCTTCTTCTCCTTCTTCTCCTTCTTCTTCTTCTTCTTCTTCTTCTTCTTCTTCTTCTTCTTCTTCTTCTTCTTCTTCTTCTTCTCATTGATTGATTGACTGAGAGAAGGGAATGTAGGGAAAGAGAGAGTGTGAGAAATATCCATGTGAGAGAAAACATTGATTGGTTGTTTCTCATATGTTCCCCAATGGGGATCGAACCTGCAACCAAGGCATGTACACTGATGGGGAATCGAAACAGTGACCCTTGACCTTGGGGTGTGATGCCCACCCCACTGACCCCAACCAGCTAGGGCTTGCCTACTCTTGGTCTAAGTCTCACCCATCAAAAATAGAAGAAATGACCTCTACAGCCTGCCACCCAGGGGACCGAGTAAGATACAACAGAGCAAGTCGAGTGAACACTCTCAGAAGGCTGAAACGAAGTGCATGGGAGAGGTGTGCAGGGCGGCTGGTCCTCGCTGTCCCTCCCCCTGGGCCTGTGATAAGGTAACACTGTGCAGAGTGTGTGGCTGCCCTCAGGGACACACTGCCAGTCAGTGCCCAGCTCTGGGCAGCCTGAGAGGCGGTTCCCCTGCAGGTGGGGGGGGGGATGAGGCCCCGAGTGAGGTCAGAGGCAGAGGACGGGGAACAGAAGTCCCAGGGACAATAGGGAGCCACAGTAGGTTGTGGAGCAGGGGGAGGGTTTCATTCCAAAGGGCCAGGTTTTCCTGTGAGGTTTCCTGGGGCCCTGTCTGTGGAACCAGAGGTCCTGGGTAGCAGCTGAGCCCTCCTCACAGCTTGCACTGGGTGCTGGGTGCCCACAGCATGTACTCACAGGAGGGGCAACACTACATGCTGGCGGTGGAATGGGCTGCCCCAGTTACTCACTCTCCGGGCCTCTGGGACAAAAAATTGTTCCTGGGTTTCTTGCCCATCCTTGTTGAGTTACAGCCTCTTGCCCAAGCCAGCTGGTAGCTGGTTGACTAAGGCCCACATTAGACAAGATGGTGTGTGTGTGTGTGTGTGTGTGTGTGGTGGGGGAGGGGAGAAGTAGAGGGAAGGGGTCTCCATTTCCAGGACTTAAGTTCTCAGCCCTGAGCAATGCCTGCCCTAGAGGAAGTCAGGGTCGGACCCATTCCAAGCCTTTGAGCCCAGAATCCAGACTTCAGGGCAGGCCCAAGCCCTTTGGGATGCCTGCCTGTTCTGTGAGGGAATCAAACCCGAGAAGTGCCCACTGTATCCGGTGAAGCCCCACACTGATTCCCCAGGTGAGGAAACAGACACAGAGAGATGTCCCGGACCCTTGAGGCTGTCTCCTGAGCAGGGCCTGGGCCTCCCTTCCCAGGGCACACCCAGCATGCCCCCCCCAGTTGCTGGGAGGTGCAGCCACAGGGACTCCCTCCTTGTCCCCACCCTCACACTGGTTTGCATCTCAGTGGGCCCCTGACCCAGCTCAGGTAAGCTTGGGCTCTGCTGTCACAGAGGTGGGGCACAGGGAACCACGCTCCTTCCTGGAAAAACATGCCCACCTGTTGTCACTGCGTACCTCCTCACTCTGCCACTTGGAAAACAGAGGTACAACTTGTCTACCATAAAGTCCACAGGGTTCAGAGGAATTATGTGAGTTTGACAAATGTGTACAACAGTGTGACCTCCACCACAGTCAAATGTAGAACGTTTTCCTTACCCAGAGTTCCCCTCGCCCCCTTTGCAGTGAGTCCCCTCCTCCAGCCCTGGCCCTGGCACCACTGGTCCTCCTCCTCTGCCTGCAGCTTGGCCTTCTCTGGAGATCTCACGTAGACGGAACCACGCAGGGATGGTCATCTGCATCTGGCTCCTTCCACTCACCATCGTGTTCAGGAGGCTCGTTCGAGATGTGTGTCCTGACAGTTCATCCCTCTTTGCTGGCAAGGAGCGTTCCAGTCACTGGAGTGGATGGCCCCCAGTTTGATGAGCCTGCTGATGGGCACCTGGGTGGTCCCTGGTTGTTAACTGTTTTCTCCCTCTACTTCCTCTTTATCTCTCTGTTCTTCTCCTTCTCCTCCTCTTCCTCTTCTGCTTCTCTGTCTTGGTCTTCTTCATCTCCTTCTCCTGACTGGTTTGAATAAAGATACTACGGACATTCTTGTACGACTTCTTATGTGGAGGTGTGCTCTCATTTCCTGATGGTAAACACGTACAAATAGAATATCTGGGTTGCATGGTGTCAGAGTTTACCCCTTTCATAGTCATTCCTGGTGGTCCTTCCCCAGCACCTACGGGGCGGGGCATTGGTGCAGATGAGAGGGTGAGCTGAGGGCATGAGGGCCTGGGCGTAACTGGGCCTCAGCCTTACACCTGTCTTCAAGTAGCTTAGTGTCTTGGGCAAGTGGCTTTGCCTCCTTAGGGTCGGCCTCAGTGCACCCATGTGTGAAAGGGAAAGGGCACCACGGCCCTCCCTGCCTGTCCCAGAGGATGCAAAGCGGTGGGCCAGGGCCCTCTCTGGCCTCTCTCAGGGGCCTGTGTTCTGAGGGCTGGAGCAGAGACCACAGGCTGCTTGTGAGACAGAACTGGCCCTGAGGGCAAGGCCTCCCTTAGAGAGCTGCATCCTCTCTCCAGTCCATGTGGGCAGGGCCACAGCCAGTGCCTGCCAACCTTGGGAGGTTCCTTTGGCCTTGAGCTGAGTGGCCAAGGGCTATTGTGTTGTGGGCGTGTGGGGCCATCCATTGGCCGTGCACATGTGAGAATATAGCAGTATAAAGGAGGAAGAAAAAAAAGCCAGGAGGCCAAGGGAAAAAGGATGTGCACCACTCTCTTACATGTATGTGTCTACTTACATTTAAATGCTGAAAATTAAGAAATCAGGACTTCTGGCCAAGAGGGAGGCATAGGTGGACACACTGTGCCTTCTCGCACAACCGAAAGAAAAACAACAACAAATTTAAAGACAAAAAACAACCAAAACTGCCAGGAAATCGAACTCTATGGAAGTCTGACAACCAAGGAGTTAAAGAAGAAACATTCACCCAGACCAGTAGGAGGGGCAGGAACGGACAGCCATGCAGAGAGGACTGGAGGTGAGACAGCAGCTGGCGGACTGGGCGGTCCCACATTCACGGGCAGATAAACCGGGAGGGAAGACCGGGGAGCGAGGCAGACTGCACAACCCAGGGTTCCAGAGCTGGAAAGTAAAGCCTCAAACCTCTGATTGAAAACACCTGTGGGGGTTTAGGCGGCAGGGAGAGAAACTCCCAGCCTCACAGGAGAGTTCATTGGAGAGACCCATAGGGTGCTAGAACAAACACAACCCCACCCACCTGGGAATCAGCACCAGAAGGGCCCAATTTGATTGTGGGCAGCGGGGCAAGTGACCGAAAACCCTCAGACAGTGGAGCAAGTCACACTGTTCCCTCTCGGACCCCTCCCCCACAGACAGCATCACTATGCAGCCACCTGGGTTGCCCTGGTCTAGTGAACACCTAAGGCTCCACCCCTTTTAATGGAACACCCTAGCCAAGACACAAAAAAAAAAGGCCGAAATGAAAGAACAGATCAAACCCCCAGAAAAAATACAACTAAGTGACGAAAAAATAAACAACCCTTTAGATGCAGAGTTCATAACACTGGTAATCAGGATGTTCACAGAATTGGTTGAGTATCGTGACAAATTACAGGAAAAAGCGAAGGCTACGCAAAGTGAAATAAGGGAAAATGCACAGGGAACCAACAGCGACAGGAAGGAAATCGGGATTCAAATCAATGGTGTGGGCCAGAAAGAAGAGAGAAACATCCAACCAAAACAGAATCAAGAAACAAGAATTCAAAAGAAAGAAGAGGCTTAAAATCCTCCAGGACTTCTTTAAACATTCCAACATCCGAATCACAGGGGTGCTAGAAGGAGAAGAGGAACAGCAAGACATTGAAAACTTATTTGAACAAATAATGAAGGAGAACTTCCCCAGTCTGGCAAAGGAAATAGACTTCTAGGATGTCCAGGAAACTCAGAGAGTTCCAAAGCAGTTGCACCCAAGGAAGAACACACCAAGACACATCATAATTACATTATCCAAGATTAAATGAAGGAAAGAATCTTAAAAGCAGCCAGACAAAAGGAGACAGTTACCTACAAAGCAGGGCCCATCAGACTGTCAGCTGATTTCTCAAAAGAAACCTTGTAGGCAAGAAGGGGCTGGAAAGAAGTATTCCAAGTCATGAAAGACAAGGACCTACATCCAAGATTGCTCTATCCAGCAAAGCTTTCATTTACAATGGAAGGGCAGATAAAGTACATCTCAGATAAGGTCAGGTTAAAGGCATTATCACCAAGCCTTTATTTTATGAAATGTTAAAGGGACTTGTCTAAGAAAAAGAAGATAAAAAAACATGTATGGTAAAATGACAGCAAACTCACAATTATTAACAACCACACCTAAAACAAAACAAAAAAAAAAAAAACTAAGCAAACTAGAACAGGACAAGAACCACAGAAATGGAGATCACATGGAGTTAGCTACAGGAGAGTGGGAGGAGGAGAGAGGGGGAAAAGGTACAGAGAATAAGTAGCATAGATGGTAGGTAGAAAATAGACAGGGGGAGGGCAAGAACAGTGTGGGAAATGTAGAAGCTAAAGAACTTATGACACATGGACATGAACTAAAGGGGGGGATGTGGGTGGGAGAGGGGGTACAGGGTGGAGGGGAGAGAAGGGGAAATGGGACAACTGTAATAGCATAATCAAAAAAATATACTTTTTAAAAAAGAAAGTAGCTGAGGGTTGGTTAAGAATGGTATAGGAAATGTAGAAACCAAAGAAATTGTCAGTATGACCCGTGGACATGAACTAAAGGGGGGAATGCAGGTGGGAGGGGGTGTGTGGGGCAGAGGGGAGTAAAGGGGGAGGGAGGAATGGGACAATTGGAATAGCATAATGGATAAAATATATTTGATTTAACAAAATGAAACCAGTTCCTCAGTTACACTAGCCTTGTTTGAAGTGCCCACAGCCATGTGCGGTTAGTAGCTACCATGTTGGAGAGCACAGATCCAGAAGAGTCCCTTCAGTGCAGAAAGTTCTCCTGCACAGCCTCAGGAGACCCCCACCGTCCCACTGGAAGGTCAGTATTGTTAGGCCATGCCTGGTGTACTGGGGCAGGGCCCCAGGGGTCAGCTGCCTGGCAGGGAAGGACGCCTACAGGGCGGGTGGACAGAGCTGTTCTTGAGAGAGGGGGGCTCAGGCAGCCTGCAGGGGGCTGGTGGGGCTGGGCCCTGAGAGCATGGCCCAGCAGGGAGGCGAGCCACCTGGGAGGTAGAAGGGTGGGTTCCAGCCCTGGCTGGGAGAGGGGCCTGGGAGGGAGGGGTTTCAGTGCAGCACAGGATGTGGAAGAGCACCTGGCTCAGGCAGACTGGGAGGAGAAGTAGAGGGCCATTGGGAAAGGGGGGAGCCCCAACTGGGGGAGGGAGGTGGTGACAACACCCTTGCACCAGCCTCTGGGGGACCTTCTGCTCCCAGCTCCTGGGCTGCGCTGCTCTCTTTGCTGGGTTGGGAGTGGGTGTGGGGACAGTGTCAGGGGCCAGCGCCACCAGCTAGGGCTTGGCTCCCACAGCCTCAGACATCCTGCCTACTCCTGACCTGGCTCCTGTTTCCCTGTCCCTGTGCCTTCCCTGTCTCTCCATCTCTCTGTGTCTCTGTCCCTCTCTCCACCCAAGGAGAAGCCCTGGAGGACAGTCAGCAGAACCATGACCACAGCTTGCTCTTGGTCTTCCCCTATGGCTCCCTCAGTCTGCCTGTGGCTGACAGAGTGGGGCTCACCTCACGTGCTGCTCAGAGGCCCTCCCAGGGCAGGGTTTGCAAAGGGAGTCACAGCCAGTGAGAGGCAGCCCAGCGATCCCAATGTCTGTTTGCCCGACCCAGAGACCGAGGTCCTCAGCAGCCCTGGGGCAGCTGCCAGCCCTGGTGACAGCAGCAGCTGCTGAGTGTGGAGCATCTGTCAGTGCCCCTCAGCCCATTGGGAAGGGGCCCTGCGTGTGCTGCATGTGACCCGGAGGAACGCAGGACTGGGCAGGTCTCATGCCCTGGTCTAAACACGCACATGGAAACCTCCTTCCCTCCCAGTTGGGCTCCTTGGGGACCCTGAAGCCAAAGGAAAGTGGGGGGTCCAGGAGAGATCTGAGGGGTCCAATGTCCTCAGGGTGCTGACCCTCCTCCCACCCTGCAACAGGCCCCGGTGTGCAAGCTGGAATTGATCAAGAGCCCCCTGGGGCAATGCCTGGGTATGACATCGGGTTGCACACAGGCCTGTTTCTCCTTCCTTCTCCCGAGGCTGAGTGCGCAAGCGGCCCCAGCACCAGGCTGCCACCTTCCAAGGGGCCCTCCAAGCGCCCAGGAGTCCCACAGGCCCACAGAGGCCAAAGGCTGCCCCAGACCCTGATTCCAGCCTGGGGGTGTGGGCTCCTGCATGTTGGGGGTGAAATGGCCAAATCAGAGTTTGGAGGGGCCCCGGACACTGGTGAGGAAGCAGACTGAGTTCTGGGGAGAGCCTGGAGCCCGGAGGAGGTGGAGTCCGGGGGCTGTGGCTGCACCTAGGAGGGGAGAAGATGGTGGTAGGGGCCAGGGCAGGGGCCAGGGCAGGGGCTCTGGCAGAGGTCCGAGGGGAGTGTCCCCAGGAGGAAGGAAGGGCAGGCAGCTGCTCCCCAGCTTTTCAGCTCAGGGCTGGTGCAGCGGGCACCTGCCCAAACAGCAGGCCCAGCCACCTGGGCACGGCCAGGGCTAACCCCGGGAGTCCTGAACTCAGAGATGCAGACCAGCTGTCATCTGTCCCTGGTAACTGGTGGCCTGAGAGTGCCCGGGTCCAGCCACGGCAGGGTCTGAGTGTTTCCGAACGATGGGCAGCTAAGGCGAAGCAAATGAAGCGAGACACCCGGTGGGGCACTGGAAGACAGTGAGGCCTTTTGGGCCCAACTGACTCACCGAGAAGACTCAATCTTTATTTTTATACGGGAGGCTATACAACATTCAATGCATAGTGTGATCATTATTAAAACAGAAACGGCTACCATACGAATAATTTCGAAAAATACAAAAGGTTTTACAGATGAGTCATGCTAAACAAAGAAATAACCGAAAAGTACAGGAGGTCCCACAGATCAACCATGTTAAACAAAGGTTATTTTGACCAAGAGGGTCATCAATCACATAGCCAACAGAGCTATATGGGCACAAACTTTTAGGTCCCAATTAGTAACTAGGTGTCTATTAAGATTCTAGGGATTGGTCTAAATTAAAAGGGTGCAAGAGGTGACTTATAGGTTATATAGAAACTAGCTATTGCCCATTGAGGTTAGATTTGTCTCAGGTAACCGTTTATTTTGCCTACGATTTTGGATTTATACATCTTGGGGGGGGCATGTTTTATATTTGTTTCCATGTATTGAGATTATTATTTTCAGCTAGAACTCCTTGCTTCTTTACACTCCTGTCCAGGGTATGGGAGGGGTAGTGGCTTTAATAAATCTTAAGCTTTTGAGTGGTGACTCCTTAAGAAACATTCCTAGCAACAGTTTCCTTCAGCATTCTGGCAGTTGGTCTGCCCATGGTTTAATTTTGTCCTTAACTGCCCAGGTGGGGGAAGCAGGCAACATGAGGGTTGCTGGGGGTCTCTATCCTGTGGTCAGCAGGTCATTTCACACAGAATCAGAGGCATCGTGCAGAGTTTTTGTTATAACACACAGGTATCTAAAAGTCCCACCACCTATTGCTAGCAGGGACAGGCACACAGGAGGAGATAGACGGGAGATCTGGCCACAGTCACCTGTGCTGTGCAGATGCGTCTCATCCTACCTGACTGTGTCAAGGGACAGATGTTGGTCAGCTCCCAACATGAGAGGGTGTCCCCAGCGAGATGTGAGGCCTGGGAGGAGAAGCAGCCCAGGATGGCCCTGGGCAGGCCCTCCATGTTAAGGGAAGGGTGCTGGGGGAGACCAAGAAGCAGCTTCCAGGGAAGGAAGAGGGACACCAGGAAGGGGCCTCAGGGCAGGATGGGACAGGGGCACTTTCATGAGGACAGAGGGGCCACCAGGACCTGGTAGATAAAGACGAGGCATGAGTGGCCACTGTCCCCAGTGAGGGCTGGCCAGCCTGCAGTGGCTCTGAGTGGGACAGCCAAGAAGTGGAGTGTGGTTGTGGGCTGCCCTTCCTCGGCCTCGGCGGGGCAGGGGCCAGGGCAGCAGCCCACATCTGGTGGGGACTAGGGACAGTTTCAGACCAGAAAGCAGTAGAGAAGAGCCCGGGAGAGGGACGCGTGTCCCCAAGCCGCCGAACTGACAAGGGCTGGGTCCAGAGCAGGATGAAGTGACCTTGGAAGCCGCCCTTGGGACTGCCTGGGGGGTGAGGCTGCAGGTGGAGGTGGTCACTGTCATTCACTCTTCCAGCCTGACCTGAGAGCCTGCTGGGTGCCGGGCAGGCCTGGGAGGAAGACCTGCTGGTGAATTCCCCACACAGGGCGGGTTCGGGAGGCCGTCCCAGTGGGGGAGGATGCAGAGCTGGGCCCGACTCCCTTCCTCTCCTCGGGATATTTCAACTCCCTTGAGCAACCCCAGATGAAACTTCCCTGAGGGGCCCAGGACAGGCCGATATGGTGTCAGGAAGATGGAGAAAGGATTTCTTCAGGTTGCACAGGGGGCAGACCTCACCCACTGTCCAGCAGGACCCCTGAGGTGACAGCAGAGGTGAGGCAAGCCCAGCCCACACCTGGCAGGTGGCCAGGGATGGGGCAGGTCAGGGAGGCTCCTGGTGGGGCTGTTGCAACAGGCCCAGGCATAAAGGAGGGTTGTTCAGGTCGGGAGGAGGCAGACTGGGGACCATGGAGACCCAGAGAGACAACCTCCCCTGGGGACGCTGGTCACTGTTGCTACTGCTGCTGGGCCTGGCAGTGCCTCCAGCCACTGCCCAGGACCTCAGCTACAACCAGGCTGTGCTCGGCGCCGTGGACGGCTACAACCAGCGGTCCTCGGAAGCTAATCTCTACCGCCTCCTGGAGCTGGACCCGCAGAGGCCCGATGCAGTGAGTTGGGGAGGATGCCCGGGAGGGGGGCTCTGGGCCAGCCAGGTGGGCCACACTGCCACTGCCTTTGCTCATGCAGGACCTGTGGTCAGGGGGGCACTACTCCCTTTCAGTACGACCCCTCTGTTCCAGGAGACCTTCCTGATCTGTGTCCCTCCCAGGGGACAGTCTCCTCCCTGAGAATCTATACGATGCAAAGAGGTGCCACTTCCACACCCCCATTCAGGCTTCCGGACTCCTGCCAGTTCCGGGAAGAAGAATGGGGTCACTGGGTCTGGCTGTGACCTCCCTGCTTCACGTTTCCCCTGCTTCTGCGTGTCTCCCACACAGGGGTGGCCTAGTGTGCGCTCCGGGGTGCCCGGGACAATGCCTTTCCTGCAGGAGGCCCCTGGTTTCCCTCGGTTCCCCAAACTTCTCTACGGTCCGCTCCTGCCCTCTGTGTGCCCGGGGAGGGCAGCAATGGGCTCTATCCTGCTCACCTCTGTCCCCTAGCACCCAACCTGGTGCCAGGGACCCAGCTGGGTTGTTGAAAGTCCCGTCCCTTAAATAAGCTATTTTAGAAAAAGATTTCATGTTTTATTTTGTAGAAAGGGGTATGGAGGCAGAAAGAAAGAGGGAGAGAAACATGGACTGGTGTCCAGGGGCCCACCCGCAACGCAGCCGCGTGCTGGGAGTGGGAAGCAAACGAGTGGCAGTTCGGGGCCCAGGCTGAAGCTCAGCCCTCTGAGCCACAGCAGCCGGGGCAGACACCCCTTGTCTCAGAGAAGACGAGCTGGTGCCCAGTCCGGGTCTCCCCACTCTCTCTCTGGCCAGGACGACAACCCCAGCACCCCGAAGCCGGTGAGCTTCACCGTGAAGGAGACCGTGTGCCCCAGGACGACGCAGCTGCCGCCGGAGCAGTGTGAATTCAAGGAGAACGGGGTGAGGCTGGGGCCGGGGGCCCAGGGGGCCACCCGAGACGCTGAGCGATGGGCATCTGGAGCGCAGTTCCAGACTCGGGGGTGAGCCCGGAGGGTTAAAGCACAGAGATTCCCGTTTGACCTCAAGCCTCCTCTTTTCAGCTGGTGAAACAGTGTGTGGGGACAGTCACCCTGGGCCAGGCCGGTGGCTACTTTAACATCAACTGTGCGGAGGTGAGTGGCCACTTCTGCGTGTAGGGGCCCTTGGGTGGTGGTTCATGGAACATGCTATGGACCCTTTAAACACTGCTCCCTCCAGGGCCCAGAGAGCCCCCTGCCCTGGGCTACTTCCAGAGCCACTGACTTAGAGATGAGAGTTCAGCCCAAGATCCATTGAGTGTTGCTGGGATGGGCTCTGTGACCTTGGGAAGCCAGTGGCCATGTCTGGGCCTCAGCTTCCTCTTCTCCTGATGGGTGCAGGGATTCAACCACATGTTCCGAAGGTCACTGCCAGAGGGTGACTGGATCCACAGGCTCCTGGGGTGGCCCAGGAACATTGGGTGCACAGGTGGGGAGGGGTCCTGACCCTGGGTCCAGCCCCCACAAGAAGACTGTTTCTTCCTCATGACAGATTCAGGAGGTTGTGCTGGGCCCGGCGTTGAGGGTTGGCGGGAGGATTGCCGGAAGGATTGCTGGAAAGGTTATCGGAGATGCTATACAGCGCCATCGTGAACGGAATCGTCAGCGCAGGGGCTAAGGGCCTGTTTGGCCCTGGGTCCAACTCTGGACTCTGAAAAATAAATCCTTGTGAAAGCAACTTTCTCCAGGCTTCAGTTTCACCTGTCTCGCCTTCCCCCACTTACCACCACCTACTCTGGGAGGCTGCGTGTGTGCGGGTGCACCGTGTGCGCATGTGCGGGCAAAACACAGGCATGGGCGGGGCGGCTGCTCCATCCAGGAGGACACGGGCTGAGGCAGCAGCCCAAGGGGCCCAGGACAGTGCCTCATTCTCAGGGTCGTCCCCCACGCAGCCTCCCATCCCTCCCACCTTCCTCCTTGAGAACCTAGTAGGGACTTAAGGAGATCTACTCAGTGTGCAGCACAGGTGGGGACGCTGCTGAACTGTCCCTGCTCTTACAGGGGTGATCCTGCAGGGGGCGCCAGACATTTGTTAAACACTCACAGGGATGCAGGTCAGTGTCAGGGCGGCTGGGTTCTGAGGGCAGCAGGGTTCCAACGCCCATAAAGTTCCAATTCCCCTTGAAAATCGTAACTCTGCAAAAGCCCTCCACACAGTGGGGTGGCCCTCACCAGGCACTCCCGGCAGTGAGCTGTTTCCCGGGTGGCTGAGAGACCAGACCCTGCAGACAAAGGTCTGCCTTTCCCCTGTAGGTGAGCGTCTCAGACCTGAAGTGCTGGTTCTGGGCGCAGGAATTGGGATGTGGTTGGTGAAGGGCGGAGACAAGACTCAGGTATGGCCTCAGGCCTCGCTGCAGTAGAATGAGTTTGCTCCCCGCTGATGCGCTTACAGGGAGTCCCGCAGGGATGGTGGCTGAGCCAGGTGGCGGGGCTCTGTGACATGCTGCCCTCCAGGGGGAGCACGTGCTGGGCCAGGGACGGCCAGGGGAGGGCAGCCTTGGGCAACCTTTATATCCCCTGGGCACTTCTTCTGGTCCCCATTCTCTTCTCTTCTCTCTTTACATTGATTGATTGACAGAGAATAGAGGAGGCAGATAGAGAGGGAGAGAAACAACCATGTGAGAGAGACATTGATTGGTTGTCTCTCATATGTGCCCTGACTGGGACCGAACCGGCAACCAAGGCTCATAACTGACAGGGAATCGAAACAGTGACCCTTGACCTGGAGGTGTGATGCCCAACCCACCTACCCTAACCTGCTAGGGCTTGCCCACTCTTGGTTTCCAGCTCACCCTCCAAGAAACGGGAGGAATGACCTCGATCAGTCTACCACCCAGAGGCCTGAGCAACACACAACAGAGCAAGTCGAGTGAACACTCTCAGAAGGCTGAAACGAAGTGCATGGGAGAGGAGTGCAGGGCGGCTGGTCCTCGCTGTCCCTTCCCCTGGGCCTGTGATAAGGTAACCCTGTGCAGAGTGTGTGGCTGCCCTCAGGGACACACTGCCAGTCAGTGCCCAGCTCTGGGCAGCCTGAGAGGTGGTTCCCCTGCAGGTCGGGGGGATGAGGCCCGAGTGAGGTCAGAGGCAGAGGACGGGGAATGGAAGTCCCAGGGACAATAGGGAGCCACAGTAGGTTGTGGAGCAGGGGGAGGGTTTCATTCCAAAGGGCCAGGTTTTCCTGTGAGGTTTCCTGGGGCACTGTCTGTGGAACCAGGCGTCCTGGGTAGCAGCCGAGCCCTCCTCACAGCTTGCACTGGGTGCTGGGTGCCCACAGCATGTACTCACAGGAGCGGCAACACTACGTGCTGGCGGTGGAATGGGCTGCCCCAGTTCCTCACTCTCTGGGCCTCTGGGACGTAAAATTGTTCCTGGGTTTCCTGCCCATCCTGGTTGAGTTACAGCCTCTTGCCCAAGCCAGCTGGTAGCTGGTTGACTAAGGCCCACATTAGACAAGATGGTGTGTGTGTGTGTGTGTGTGTGTGTGTGTGTGTGTGATGGGGGAGGGGACATGGGGAGAACAGGTCTCCATTTCCAGGACTTAAGTTCTCAGCCCTGAGCAATGCCTGCCCTAGAGGGAGTTGGGCTTGGACCCACTCCAAGCCTTTGAGCCCAGAATCCAGACTCCAGGGCATGCCCAGGCCCTTTGGGATGCCTGCCTGTTCTGTGAAGGCAAACTCGAGAAGTGCCCACAGTATCAGGTGAAGCCCCACACTGATTCCCCAGGTGAGGAAACAGACACAGAGAGGTGTCCCAGGCCCATGTGGCTGTCTCCAGAGCAGGGCCTGGGCCTCCCTTCCCAGGGCACACCCAGCTCGCCCCCCAGGGGCTGGGAGGTGCAACCACAGGGCTCCTCCTTGTCCCCACCCTCACACTGGTTTGCATCTCAGTGGCCCCTGACCCAGCTCAGGTAAGCTTGGGCTCTGCTGTCACAGAGGTGGGCACAGGGAACCACGCTCCTTCCTGGAAAAACATGCCCACCTGTTGTCACTGCGTACCTCCTCACTCTGCCACTTGGAAAACAGAGGTACAACTTGTCTACCATAAAGTCCACAGGGTTCAGAGGAATTATGTGAGTTTGACAAATGTGTACAGCAGTGTGACCTCCACCACAGTCAAGATGTAGAACATTTTCCTTACCCAGAGTTCCCCTCACTCCCTTTGCAGTGAGTCCCCTCCTCCAGCCCTGGCCCTGGCACCACTGGTCCTCCTCCTCTGCCTGCATCTTGGCCTTCTCTGGAGATCTCACGTAGACGGAACCACGCAGGGATGGTCCTCTGCATCTGGCTCCTTCCACTCACCATCGTGTTCAGGAGGGTCATTCGAGATGTGTGTCCTGACAGTTCATCCCTCTTTGCTGGCAAGGAGCGTTCCAGTCACTGGAGTGGATGGCCCCCAGTTTGATGAGCCTGCTGATGGGCACCTGGGTGGTCTCTGGTTGTTAACTATTTTCTTCTTTTTCTTCATCTTCTTATTCCTGTTCTTCTTTCTCTCCTCCTCTTCCTCTTCTGCTTCTCTGTCTTGGCCTTCTTCATCTTCTTCTGCTGACTAGTTTGAATAAAGATACTATGAACATTCTTGTACGACTTCTTATGTGGAGGTGTGCTCTCATTTCCTGATGGTAAACACGTACAAATGGAATTTCTGGGTTGCATGGTGTCACAGCTTACCCCTTTCACAGTCATTCCTGGTGGTCCTGTCCCCAGCACCTACCGGGGGAGGCGTTGGTGCAGATGAGAGGGTGAGCTGAGGATGGGAGAACCCGGGGGGTTGCTGGGCCTCAGCCTTCCACCTTTCTTCAAGTAGCTTGGTGTCTTGGGCAAGTGGCTTTGCCTCCTCTGGGTTGGCCTCAGTGCACACATCTGTGAAAGGGAAAGGGCACCACAGCCCTCCCTGCCTGTCCCAGAGGATGCAAGGCGGTGGGCCAGGGCTCTCTCTGCCCTCTCTCAGGGGCCTGTGCTCTGAGGGCTGGAGCAGAGACCACAGGCTGCTTGTGAGACAGAACTGGCCCTGAGGGTAAGGCCTCCCTTAGAGTGCTGCATCCTCTCTCCAGTCTGTGTGGGTGGGGCCACAGCCAGTGCCTGCCAACCTTGGGAGGTTCCTTTGGCCTTGATCAGAGTGGCCAAGGGCTATTGTGTTGTGGGTGTGTGGGGCCAAGCTTTGGCCATGCACATGTCAGAATATGACAGTGTAAAGGAGGAGGAAAAATGCAAGGAGGCCAAGGGAAAAAGCATGTCCACCATGCTCCTACATGTATGTGTCTACTTACATTTAAATGCTGAAAATTAAGAAATCAGGACTTCTGGCCAAGATGGAGGCATAGGTGGACACACTGTGCCTTCTCACACAACCAAAAGAAGGACAACAACAAATTTAAAAGCAAAAATCAACCCAAACTGCCAGGAAATTGAACTCTATGGAAGTCTGACAACCAAGGAGTTAAAGAAAGGAACATTCACCCAGACCAGTAGGAGGGTCGGACACAGGCAGCTGGGCGGAGGGACCACAGCGAGTGACTGGCCAGCCCAGCGAGAGTAGCAGACTGGCGGGACTGGGTGGTCCCACATTCACGGGCAGGTAAACCAGGAGGGAAGACTGGGGAGCGAGGCAGACTGCACAGCCCAGGGTTCCAGAGCTGGGAAGTAAAGCCTCAAACCTCTAATTGAAAACACCTGTGGGGGTTTAGGCTGCAGGGAGAGAAACTCCCAGCCTCACAGGAGAGTTCATTGGAGAGACCCACAGGGTGCTAGAACAAACACAAACCCACCCACCTGGGAATCAGCACCAGAAGGGCCCAATTTGATTGTGGGTAGCAGGGGAAGTGACTGAAAACCCGCCGACAGCGGAGCAAACCACACTCTTCCCTCTTGGACCCCTCCCCCACAGACAGTGGCACAATACAGCCACCTGGGTTTCCCTGGCCTAGTCAACATCTAAGGCTCCACCTCTTTCTACTTAACACCCTAGCTGAGATGACAAAAAAAAAAAGGCCCAAATGAAAGAACAGATCAAAACCCCAGAAAAAATACAACTAAGTGATGAAAAAATAGACAACCCTTTAGATGCAGAATTCATAACACTGGTAATCAGGATGCTCACAGAATTGGTTGAGTATCATCACAAATCACAGGAAAAAGTGAAGGCTATGCAAAGTGAAATAAGGGAAAATGCACAGAGAACCAACAGTGACAGGAAGGAAATTTGGGATTCAAATGAATGGTATGGACCAGAAGGAAGAGAGAAACATTCAACCAGAACAGAATCAAGAAACAAGAATTCAAAACAATGAGGAGAGGTTTAAAATTCCCCAAGACTTATTTAAACATTCCAACATCTGAATCACAGAGGTGCCAGAAGGAGAAGATGAACAGCAAGACATTGAAAACTTATTTGAACAAATAACAAAGGAGAACTTCCTCAATGTGGCAAAGGAAATAGACTTCCAGGAAGTCCAGGAAGCTCAGAGAGTCCCAAAGAAGTTGAGTCCAAGAAGGAACACACCAAGGCACATCATAATTACATTATCCAAGATTAAACGAGGGAAAGAATCTTAAAAGCAGCCAGACAAAAGGAGACAGTTACCTACAAAGCAGTGCCCATCAGACTGTCAGCTGATTTCTCAAAAGAAATCTTACAGGCAAGAAGGGACTGGAAAGAAGTATTCCAAGTCATGGAAGGCAAGGAAGGACCTACATCTGAGATGACTCTGTCCAGCAGAGCTTTCATTTAGAATACAAAGGCAGATAAGTGCTTCACACATAAAGTCAAGTTAAAGGAGTTCATCATCGCCCAGCCCTTACTATATGAAATGTTAAAGGAACTTATCCAAGAAAAAGAAGATAAAAAATACAAACAGTAAAGTGACAACAAATTCACAGTTATGAACAATTCAACCTAAAACAAAAACAAAAGCCAACTAGAACAAGAGAGCAGGAACAGAATCACAGGAAAGGAGATCACATGAGGGTTATCGGTGGAGAGGGAGTGGTGGGGGAGTGGGGAATGGGGGAAAACTTAAGGGAATAAGAAGCCTAAATGGTAGGTAGAAAATAGCCAGACTTCCTGCCAAGATGGAGGCATAGGTAGACACACTGTGCCTCCTCACACAACCAAGATAGGGACAACAGCAATTTAGAAACAGAATGACAACCAGAAGTGATAGAAAATTGATCTAAATGGAAGTGGGACAACCAAGAAGTTAAGGTAGACACGTTCATCCAGACCAGTAGGAGGGGTGGAGTCGTGCAGCCAGGCAAGGGTTGTGGCGAGGACAGCACAGATCATTGGGACTGGGTGACTAAGACCACAGGTGGCAGACCCAAGCCGAGGGGTGGCAACCAGCAGAACCAGTGACACAGCAATTGTGAAGTGAGGCACTGTGCGCTACCCAGGATGCCAGCACTGGGAAATAGAGTCTTGGGAGCACTGTTTGAAAACACCTGTGGGGGTTGAGGTGCAGGGAGAGACTCCCAACCTCACGGAGAAGTTGTTGGAAAGTCCCACGGGGTGCACAAGCCCACCCACATGGGAATGAGCACCAGAGGGGCCCAGTTTGCTTTGGGGAAGTGGCGGATGGGACTGAGGTCTGACCGAGAGCGGAGAAAGTGCCATTGCACCCTCTCAGACCCTGCCACCACATACAACATCACAACCCAGTGACTGGGGTGCCCCGCCCTGGTGAACAGCTAAGGCTCCACCTCTCACACATAACAGGTGTGACCAGACCAAAGGAAGAACAAAAAAGGTGGCTCAAACAGAAATGAAAGTCTCACAACCCGTACTTTTAAGCGACCGAGAAATAGCCAACCTATCAGATGCACAGTTCAAACACTGGTGAGCAGGATGCTCACAGAATTGATTGATTTTGGTCACAAATTAGATGAAAAAATGAAAGCTACACTAAGTGAAATGAAGGAAAATGCACAGGGAACAAATAGTGATGGAATGAAAGCTGGGTCTCACATCAGTGAAGTGGACCAGGAGGAAGAAAAAAACATACAATCAGAAAAGAATAAAAAAATAAGAATTCAAAAAAAAATGATGAGAGGCTTAGGAACCTCCAAGGCAGCTTTAAACGATCCAACATCTGAAGTATAGGGGTACCAGAAGGAGAAGAGGAAAAGCAACAAGTGGAAAACTTATTTGAATAAAAATAAAGGAGAATTTCCCCATTCTGGCAAAGGAAATAGACTTCCAGCAAGTCCAGGAAGCTCAGAGTCCCAAAGAAGTTGGGTCCAAGGAGGAACACACCAAGGCACATCATAATTACATTAGTTAGGTAAAAATGAAGGAGAGAATCCTAGAAGCAGGAAGAGATAAGGAGACAGTTACCTATAAAGGAGTTCCCATCAGACTGTCAGCTGATTTCTCAAAAGAGACCTTACAGGCAAGAAGGGGCTGGAAAGAAGTATTTCAAGTAACGAAAGGCAAGGACCTACATCCAAGATTGCTCTATCCAACAAAGCTTTCATTTAGAATGGAAGGGCAGATAAAGTACATCTCAGATAAGGTCAAGTTAAAGGAGTTCATCATCACCAAGCCCTTATTTTATGAAATGTTAAAGGGACTCATCTAAGAAAAAAGAAGATAAAAAAAACATGTATAGTAAAATGACAGCAAACTCACAATTATTAACAACCACACCTAAAACAAAAAGAAAAAAAAACTAAGCAAACAACTAGAACAGGACAAGAACCAGAGAAATGGAGATCACATGGAGGGTTAGCAACAGGGGAGTGGGTGGAGGAGAGAGCGGGGAGAAAGGTATGGAGAATAAGTAGCATAGATGGTAGGTAAAAAATAGACAGGGGGAGGGCAAGAATAGTGTGGGAAATGTAGAAGCTAAAGAACTTATGACACATGGACAGGAACTCCAGAGGGGGGGAATGCAGGTGGGAGGTGGTGTGCAGGGCAGAGGGGAGTAAAGGGGGAGGGAGGAATGGGACAACTGGAATAGCATAATGGATATATTTGATTTAACAAAAAGAAATCAGTTCCTCAGTTACACTAGCCTTGTTTGAAGTATCCACAGCCATGTGCAGTTAGTAGCTACCATGTTGGAGAGCACAGATCCAGAAGAGTCCCTTCACTGCAGGAAGTTCTCCTGCACAGCCTCATGAGACCCCCACCCTCCCACGGGAAGGTCAGTATTGTTAGACCATGCCTGGTGGACTGGGGCAGGGCCCCAGGGGTCAGCTGCCTGGCAGGGAAGGACGCCTGCAGGGCGGGTGGAGAGAGCTCTTCTTGAGAGAGGGGGGCTCAGGCTGCCTGCAGGGGGCTGGTGGGTCTGGGCCCTGAGGGCATGGCCCAGCAGGGAGGCGAGGGCCCTGAGAGGTAGAAGGGTGGGTTCCAGCCCTGGCTGGGAGAGGGGCCTGGGAGGGAGGGGTTTCAGTGCAGGGCAGGGTGGGGAAGAGCACCTGGCTCAAGCAGACTGGGAGGAGAAGTAGAGGGCCATTGGGAAAGGGGGGAGCCCCAGCTGGGGGGGAGGTGGTGACAACACCCTTGCACCAGCCTCTGGGGGACCTTCTGCTCCCAGCTCCTGGGCTGTGCTGCTCTCTTTGCTGGGCTGGGGGTGGGGTGTGGGGACAGTGCCCAGGGGCCAGCGCCACCAGCTAGGGCTTGGCTCCCACAGCCTCAGACATCCTGCCCACTCCTGCCCTGGCTCCTGTTTCCCTGTCCCTGTGCCTTCCTTGTCTTTCCATCTCTCTGTGTCTCCATCTCTCTGTCTCTCCATCTCTCTGTGTCTCCATCTCTCTGTGTCTCTGTCTCTCTCTCCACCCAAGGAGAAGCCCTGGAGGCCAGTCAGCAGGACCACGTCCACAGCTTGTCCTTCGTCTTCCCCTGTGGGCCCCTCAGTCTGCCTGTGGCTGGCAGAGTGGGGCTCACCTCACGTGCTGCTCAGAGGCCCTCCCAGGGCAGGGGTTGCAAAGGGAGCCACAGCGAGTGACAGACAGGCCAGGGATCCCAAGGCCTGTTTGCCCGACCCAGAGGCTGAGGTCCTCAGCAGCCCTGGGGCAGCTGCCAGCCCTGGTGACAGCAGCAGCTGCTGAGTGTGGAGCATCTGTCAGTGCCCCTCAGCCCATTGGGAAGGGGCCCTGCGTGTGCGGCACGTGACCCGGAGGAACGCAGGACTGGGCAGGTCTCATGCCCTGGTCTAAACACGCACATGGAAACCTCCTTCCCTCCCAGTTGGGCTCCTTGGGACCCTGAAGCCAGAAGAAAGGTCTGGGGGGGGTGCAGGAGAGATCTGAGGGGTCCAATGTCCTCAGGGTGCTGACCCTCCTCCCACCCTGCAACAGGCCCCCAGTGTGCAAGCTGGAATTGATCAAGAGCCCCCCTGGGGGCAATGCCTGGGTATGACACCGGGTTGCACACAGGCCTGTTTCTCCCTTCCTTCTCCCGAGGCTGAGTGCGCAAGCGGCCCCCAGCACCAGGCTGCCACCTTCCAAGGGGCCCTCCAAGTGCCCAGGAGTCCCACAGGCCCACAGAGGCCAAAGGCTACCCCTGACCCTGATTCCAGCCTGTGGAGTGTGGGGTCCTGAAGGCTGGAGGCCAAACGGCCAAATCAGAGTTTGGAGGGGCCCCGGACACTGGTGAGGAAGCAGACTGGGTTCTGGGGAGAGCCTGGAGCCCGGAGGAGGTGCAGTCCGGGGGCTGTGGCTGCACCTAGGAGGGGAGAAGATGGTGGTAGGGGCCAGGGCAGGGGCCAGGGGCAGGGGGCTCTGGCAGAGGTCCGAGGGGAGTGTCCCCAGGAAGAAGGAGGGGCAGGCGGTTTCTCCCCAGCTTTTCAGCTCAGGGCTGGTGCAGCGGGCACCTGCCCAAACAGCAGGCCCAGCCGCCTGGGCACGGCCAGGGCTAATGCTGGAAGTCCCGAACTCAGAGATGCACACCAGCTGTCATCTGGGCCTGATAACTGGTGGCCCGAGAGAGGGTGTCCCCAGCGAGATGTGAGGCCTGGGAGGAGAAGCAGCCCAGGATGGCCCTGGGCAGGCCCTCCATGTCCTAGGGGAAGGGTCCTGGGGGAGACCAAGAAGCAGCTTCCAGGGAAGGAGGAGGGACACAAGGAAGGGGCCCTCAGGGGTGGATGGGACAGGGGCAGTTTCATGAGGACAGAGAGGCCACCAGCACCTGGTAGATAAAGACGAGGGCATGAGTGGCCACTGTCCCCAGTGAGGGCTGGCCAGCCTGCAGTGGCTTTGAGTGGGACAGCCAAGAAGTGGAGTGTGGTTGTGGGCTGCCCTTCCTCGGCCTCGGCCGGGGCAGGGGCCCAGGGCAGCAGCCCACATCTGGTGGGGACTAGGGACAGTTTCAGACCAGAAAGCAGTAGAGAAGAGCCCGGGAGAGGTGTTGCGTATCCCCAAGCCGCCGAACTGACCAGGGCTGGGTCTAGAGCAGGATGAAGTGACCTTGGAAGCCGCCCTTGGGACTGGCTGGGGGGTAAGGCTGCAGGTGGAGGTGGTCACTGTCATTCACTCTTCCAGCCTGACCTGAGAGCCTGCTGGGTGCCGGGCAGGCCTGGGAGGAAGACCTGCTGGAGAATTCCCCACACAGGGCGGGCTCGGAGGCCGTCCCAGTGGGGGAGGATGCAGAGCTGGGCCCGACTCCCTTCCTCTCCTCGGGATATTTCAACTCCCTTGAGCAACCCCAGATGAAACTTCCCTGAGGGGCCCAGGACAGGCCGATATGGTGTCAGGAAGATGGAGAAAGGATTTCTTCAGGTTGCACAGGAGGCAGACCTCACCCACTGTCCAGCAGGCCCCTGAGGCCACAGCAGAGGTGAGGCAAGCCCATCCCACACCTGGCAGGTGGCCAGGGATGGGGCAGGTCAGGGAGGCTCCTGGTGGGGCTGTTGCAACAGGCCCAGGCATAAAGGAGGGTTGTTCAGGTCGGGAGGAGGCAGACTGGGGACCATGGAGACCCAGAGAGACAACCTCCCCTGGGGACGCTGGTCACTGTTGCTACTGCTGCTGGGCCTGGCAGTGCCTCCAGCCACTGCCCAGGACCTCAGCTACAACCAGGGTGTGCTCGCTGCCGTGGACAGCTTCAACCAGCGGTCCTCGGAAGCTAATCTCTACCGCCTCCTGGAGCTGGACCCGCAGAGGCCCGATGCAGTGAGTTGGGGAGGATGCCCGGGAGGGGGGCTCTGGGCCAGCCAGGTGGGCCACACTGCCACTGCCTTTGCTCAGGCAGGACCTGTGGTCAGGGGGGCACTCCTCCCTTTCTGTCGGACCCCCCTCTTCCAGGAGACCTTCCTGAGCTGTGTCCCTCCAGAGGACAGTCTCCTCCCTGAGAATCTATACTGCGCAAAGAGGCGCCCCTTCCATACCCCCATTCAGGCTTCAGTACTCCTGCCAGTTCCGGGAAGAATGGGGTCACTGGGTCTGGCTGTGACCTCCCTGCTTCACGTTTCCCCTGCTCCTGCGTGTCTCCCACACAGGGATGGGCCCGCTCCGCCCGAGGTGCCCGGGACAATGCCCTTCCTGCAGGAGGCCCCTGGTTTCCCTCGGTTCCCCAAACTTCTCTACGGTCCGCTCCTGCACTCTGTGTGTCCGGGGAGGGCAGCAATGGGCTCTGTCCTGCTCACCTCTGTCCCCTAGCACCCAACCAGGTGCCAGGGACCCAGCTGGGTTGTTGAAAGTCTGTTCCCTTAAATAAGCTTTTTCAGAAAAAGATTTTATTTTTTATTGTGTAGAAAGGGGTATGGAGGCAGAAAGAAAGAGGGAGAGAAACATGGACTGGTGTCCAGGGGCCCACCTCCAATGCAGCCGCATGCTGGGAGTGGGAAGCAAACGAGTGGCAGTTCGGGGCCCAGGCTGAAGCTCAGCCCTCTGAGCCACAGCAGCCGGGGCAGACACCCCTTGTCTCAGAGAAGACGAGCTGGTGCCCAGTCCGGGTCTCCCCACTCTCTCTCTGGCCAGGACGACAACCCCAGCACCCCGAAGCCGGTGAGCTTCACCGTGAAGGAGACCGTGTGCCCCAGGACGACGCAGCTGCCACCGGAGCAGTGTGAATTCAAGGAGAACGGGGTGAGGTGGGGCCGGGGGCCCTGGGGGCCACCCGAGACGCTGAGCGATGGGCATCTGGAGCGCAGTTCCAGACTCGGGGGTGAGCCCGGAGGGTTAAAGCACAGAGATTCCCGTTTGACCTCAAGCCTCCTCTTTTCAGCTGGTGAAACAGTGTGCGGGGACAGTCACCCTGGGCCAGACCAGTGGCCACTTTGACATCAACTGTGCGGAGGTGAGCGGCCTCTTCTGTGTGTAGGGGCCCATGGGTGGTGGTGCATGGAACATGCTCATGGACCCATTAACCACTGCTCCTTCCAGGGCCCAGAGAGCCCCCTGCCCTGGGCTCCTCCCTCAGGCTGAGCCCCAGGTCTGCAGGACTGGCTCTGCAGGCCTGAGAGCAGTGCGTCCCCAAGGGTGGCTCCCCTGGGAAGGATGAGAAATGCCAGTTCTCAGGCCCCACTCAGGCTCGCTACTCCCACTCGGGGGGGGGGCTACAATTTGCATTGAAGAAGACTTCCTGTAGGTTCTGATTCCTGCTGAAGTTTGAGAGCCACTGACTTAGAGATGAGAGTTCAGCCCAAGATCCATTGAGTGTTGCTGGGATGGGCTCTGTGACCTTGGGAAGCCAGTGGCCATGTCTGGGCCTCAGCTTCCTCTGCTGCTGATGGGTGCAGGGATTCAACCACATGTTCCGAAGGTCACTGCCAGAGGGCGACTGGATCCACAAGGCTCTTGGGGTGGCCCAGGAACATTGGGTGCACAGGTGGGGAGGGGTCCTGACCCTGGATGCAGCCCCCACAAGGAGACTGTTTCTTCCTCATGACAGATTCAGGGTGTCGGACTGGGTCGCTCGTTTCGGAGGTTCTTCAGGATTCCCAGAGTTCGCATTCGAGGGGGCTTTAGTGTTTCCATCAACTAAGGGTCTGTTTGGCCCTGGGTCCAACTCTGGACTCTGAAAAATAAATCCTTGTGAAAGCAACTTTCTCCAGGCTTCAGTTTCACTTGTCTCGCCTTCCCCCACTTACCACCACCTACTCTGGGAGGCCGCGTGTGTGCGGGTGCACCGTGTGCGCATGTGCGGGCAAAACACAGGCATGGGCGGGGCGGCTGCTCCATCCAGGAGGACATGGGCTGAGGCAGCAGCCAAGGGGCCAGGACAGTGCCTCATTCTCAGGGTCGTCCCCCACGCAGCCTCCCACCCCTCCCACCTTCCTCCTTGAGGACCTAGTAGGGACTTAAGGAGATCTACTCAGTGTGCTGCTCAGCTGGGGATGCTGCTGAGCTGTCCCTGCTCTTACAGGGGTGATCCTGCAGGGGGCGCCAGACATTTGTTAAACACTCACAGGGATGCAGGTCAGTGTCAGGGCTGGCTGGGTTCTGAGGTCAGCAGGGTTCCAATGCCCATAATGTTCCAGTTCCCCTTGAAAATCGTAACTCTGCAAAAGCCCTCCACACAGTGGGGTGGCCCTCACCAGGCACTCCCGGCAGTGAGCTGTTTCCCGGGGTGGCTGAGAGACCAGACCCTGCAGACAAAGGTCTGCCTTTCCCCTGTAGGTGAGCGTCTCAGACCTGAAGTGCTGGTCCTGGGCGCAGGAATTGGGATGTGGTTGGTGAAGGGCGGAGACAAGACTCAGGTATGGCCTCAGGCCTCGGCCCAGCATGATGAGTTTGCTTCCCCACTGATGCGCTTATATGGAGTCCCGCAGGGATGGTGGCTGAGCCAGGTGGCCGGGCTCTGTGACATGCTGCCCTCCAGGGGAGCACGTGCTGGGCCAGGCACGGCCAGGGGAGGGCAGCCTTGGGCAACCTTTATACCCCTGGGCACTTCCTCTGGTCCCCATTCTTTTTTGAAAGAGAAGGGAAGGGAGGGAGAAATAGAGGGAGAGACACATGATCGGCCGCCTCTCCCCTGTGCCCCGACCTGAACGGGACCTGCAACCCATGCATGTCCCCTGACCAGGAATCGAACCTGTTTAAGCAGGACCCAACCACCGGAGCCACAGTAGTAAGGCTGCTGGGCCACATTCCTACCTTGTCTCTCGCTGCACCCAGGGGAAATCGGACAGTTCCTTATTCCATTATCCTTGGCTCCTCCCAGGAGCTTCTCTGCCGATACTCAGCTGGAAGGCTTTCTGGCAATATGCAAATTTGGACCCCAGAGGCGTTCTCTCCCTGACCAATGCTTGACGATGGGTGATGGAAACCTGTTGGCCATCCCCAGTCTTCCCGGCTTCCATCGGGAGGCAGAGGGCCTCCAGCTAAACTGGGGCCAGCTGGTCACAGGGCTGACCAGCTCCTCTTCCGTTTTCCTCTCCCGGTCTCTTCGCTCCCGTATTCTGAGGTTCTAGTCCCTCCTGCGTCTTAGAAATTTTATATGAGTGATTATAAGGTATATTTATTGTCAACCAATCCCTCTCCACAGACTCCACTTCCTTAATATATATACATGTTCAAATGATTGCTATTCTAAAAAAAACAAAAACACCTAAATTCTATTTTATCTGCATCCGCTGTGTCTCTTCTTTAAGATGCTTGGAAATGCTCATCCGTCCACTCTTCCCTCTCATCTCGCCCCCCCCACCTCTGCAGCCTTGCTTCGAACCCCCGCCCCCCCCAACTCAGTGGTCAGTATGCTGACCCCACCCATCATCTTCCATGTTTTCAAATTCCCCTTTTCCCTTAGTCTTTATGTTTCTTGCAGCCACAGCAGAATTTGATTCCTGTCTTCTTATTCAAGCCTTTCTCCTAGACTCTTCCCTGCTGCCGGCGTCTCCAGTTGCCACCAGCTGTGTGTGCGCTGCTTACTTCACACCTACCTCCCAGTCCTCTCCCTCCTCCCTCCGTGTTAGCATGACATCGTTCCCTTCACTTACGTCTTCAGTCATTTTACTCAGGCACCGAGGGTGTCCGCTCTACAACAGGTAGGGACTGAGGGGGACATGGAGCCACCAGCATGCGGAGGGACCGCGCAGTAGGGACAAGATAGGAGAGACTGAGGGATGCCGATGGGATGATGACTTCTGAGTGCCCACTGGGGGCTGGTTTTGTACAGATGTAAAGTTGATTTATACAGAAACGATAAAGAGACATTTTACCAATTTTAAAACTATGATTGTGTTTTTGTGGTGAGGTAATGGATTGCACCGCCTGTCATACCAGCATAAAAGCAGGGTATTGAATCCCTCTCATCCACTGTATCTGAGAAATTGATAAAAGCTCACCCACGTGGCTCCTTTCGTGCTTGCCTGGGGGTGAGAGTCTGAGGGGAGATGGGCATGGAGTCCCACCTGCGCTTCAGCAGTTGTTCTGAGCCTTCACGCCATGACCGAAGGGTCCTGGAGCGCCCGAGCCCCCACTGCCCAGCGTCTGCAAGACTAAGGTTCGTTCTTTCACTTAACTACTTACGTGAGCCCCCAAAATCTCAGACAATGAATTTGCCTAAAATTGTTTACATTCTAAAGCCAAAAACCCACTACTGGTGAAAACGAGCTGACGTTAACTTTGATGAAAGTGTTTTCTTCTACCCTGGCTGGTGTAGCTCCGTGGACTGAGCGCGGGCTGTGAACCAAAGGGTCGCCAGTTCGATTCGCAGTCTAGGGCACACGCCTGGGTTGTGTGAGAGACAACCACACATTGATGTTTTTCTCCCTTTCTCCTTGCCTTCACCTCTAAAAATAAATAAAATGAAAAAAAAAGTGTTTTCTTCTTCTTGAGAGCCCAACTTTAAAAAAAATTAAAAACAAAAATAAGAACACTGATTTCTTCTTTTTAAAAATATTTTATTCATTTGTTTTTAGAGAGAGGGGAAGGGAGAAAGAGAGGGAGAGAAACATCAATGTGTGGTCGCCTCTCATGCACCCCCTACCAGGGACCCGGCCCGCAACCCAGGCGTGTGCCCTGACTGGGAATTGAACTGGTGACCCTTTGGTTTTCAGTCTGGCACTCAACCCATTGAGCCACTCCAGCCAGGGCTTATTTTTTAATTTTTTTATTGTCGTCCAATGACAGTTGTCCCTAGTTCCCCCCATTACTCTCCCCTGCCCTCCCCTCCCCCCGTCTTCCACTTTCAATCCTCCTTCCCCATTGTCTTTGTCCAAGGGTCCTTTGTACATGTTCATTGACTTGACCCTTCCCCTTCCTTCCCCCACTATCCCCTCCTCCTTCCCCTTGAACCTGAACTTCTGAGAGGACTTGGACCTCATGCCTTGACCCCGGATCTGGACCTAATGCCTAGACTTCAGACCTGGATGTGGCATCAACTTAGTCCTGAACTCTCTGACCTACTCCCAGACATTAAGCCTGAAACTTAGACAAGGATTTGACCTGCAACTTTGTGCGTGACAGTAAACTTGGACATTGGACCTGGCCCAGGACCTCGCTACCTGTACATTGAACCTAGAATTTGGACTTGGGCCTTCTTACTCTATTGCTATTGTTTCATCTCCTTTGTTGGCCTGTGCAAATATTTGTTTTCGTAAATTCTATATAAATTCAAGGCTCTTCACTATCTCCACTGTTGCAGATTGCCATGGTAATGGCCCCCAAGAATGCATACCACCCAGTATCCATGCTCTCATACAGGTCCTTCCCAAATGGACTCTGTGTTTGGTCACGTGACTTGCTTTGGCCAATGGGATGTTAGCAAACACGACACAAACAGAAGCTTCCTAAGCTTGTGAAGAGGGGGCCTGCCGTCTTGGAACCCTGAAACAACCGTGCTATGAAGCAGCTCAAGATGAAAGAGCACGCTGGGCCCACCTGCTGAGTGCAGCCACACGAGCCAGTCCAGGTGACACTAGTGGAACCACCCAGCCAACAGACAGACATGTAAGAAGAACGCATTACTGTTTTAAGCCACTAAATTTTGAGGTGCTTCTTCATGAAGTAATTGATAACTGTCACCCTCCGCTACAACAAAAATGTGACTACCTTTAGTGGCTTTGTGCCAATCACCAAAAAAAAGGGAATCATAAAAACATGCCTCATAAAAACCCTGGCCACACAGCTCAGTTGGTTAGAGCACGGTCCTGATGGGCCAAGGTTGTGGGTTCGCTTCCCAGTGAGGGCACATACAGGTGATAACCAATGAATATGTAAGTGGAACAACAAATTGATGTTTCTCTCTCTCTCTCTCTCTCCCTAAAAATCAGTAATAAAAAGAAGCCGAAGCCCTGGCTGGCGTAGCTCAGTGGATTGGGCTGTGAACCAAAGTGTCGCAGGTTCGATTCCCAGTCAGGGTACATGCCTGGGTTACAGGCCACAGTCCCCAGCAACTGCACATTGATGTTTCTCTCTCTCTCTCTCTCTATCTCCCTCCCTTCCCTCTCTAAAAATAAATAAATAAAATCTTTAAAAAATGATCTTAAAAAAAAAAGCCGAAAAAACAAAAAAATTCCTCTACTGGGCAGACACACCTTTGTTCAAAACCAAAACCTCCCCTTCCTCCAGGGCGCAGCCCATGCCAGAGGCACAGCCTGGATTTGAACCCGCACGCAGCTCTGTCTCTGGGCACCTCATGCACAGCCCAAGCCGCACTGTGTGTGTGTGTGAGCCTCGCAGGAGATTTCTACGCGATCTTTCTCCACTGAACGCAGGGAGACACTTGGCTTCCGGGCAGGTTTAATGACTAGTAACTCCATTAAGGATGGAGAGAAGGCACCGGCGCAGCACTCCCGGCCTTGACTGCTGACTGGCCCTGAGGAAGACGGCCCTCTGGTGCTCACGGGGAGTCCCTGCAGAGTCAAGGGGGCAAGCTCCTGCTTACAAAAGGATGAACAGTGTTCCGAGGAAAGAGGAAGCGTTATTCCTCTGAGCCACCGACAAACGCTCCAAAGGAGAGGTAGACAGAGAGTCAGGTTCTGGACGTGGTGGCGGCGAGGAGCCAGGCACTCGGGCAGGTGGCAGTGCCTAGCGGAGAGGGCACCAGGAGCCCCAGGCCTCCCTGGTCTCGGGAGAACGCTCTGGACCGGAGGGCTCAGGAGAAAGTCTTGGCCGTGCCGCCAGACTTCACAGATGGACAGGCCTGCCTCGGGCCCCTGCGCTGGCTGCGCGGTGGACACCGCCCTCGGGGCTGTAGTGCACGGGGCCGCAGCGCAGCCCGGGCTCCTCCTCCTCATACCAGCGCTGCTCGCTGAAGTCAGGGAAGAAGGCTGCGATCTCTCTACTGGCCGAAGCCACGGAGTCTGCAAGAGGAGGTAAGAAAGAGAAGGGACGGTGTTAGGAAGTGCAGAATGGAGGTGAGAGGCCCTCACAATCAGGTTCAGAAACCAGAGCCTCGAAGTCGCCTGCCTGTTCCTCAGCCCTCGGGCCACGTCGGCTGAGGCGGCCGCAAAGGGCCAGGCCCCCAGTTGGGGAAAAAGCTCACGGGAAGGACCTGGCTCTCAACCCCGCCATTCGGCCCGCCCACCGGCCCCAAACTACCCTCCCTGACCTGTGGCTGTGGGCCTGGGGGGGCAGACTCACCAGAGCCGTGGGTGGTGTTGCGGGTGTCGGTGAGGCCGAAACTCCCACGAATTGAATCTGGGGCCACGTGGCGTGCCCGGAACACCCTGGTGGGTCCCATCAGCGTCCTCCAGAGCTGGATGGCATCCTTGTGGGCGAGGATGTAGGCTCGGATGGGCCCACTGGGGAGAAAAGGAGCATTCATCAATCAGGAATCGGGCCCCCAGGTCCAGGACAGCACGCGGTATGCAGGGCACCGACGCAGGCACCCTGTCCATTGGGAGAGTTTCCTGGCCTTTCTAGCTGGGCACCCATGCTGCTCCACACAGGTGCTGGGGGGTTGCTGCTGCTATCGCAGGAAGCCGCAGAGATCAGCGGAGTGGCCAGGCAGCATTTGACGGCACTGTCCTACAGCCACTGGATCGGTGACCGCCACGGGATGGGGGCCACCAGGCCAGTGCTGGCTCAGTCAGAGCCCCAAATCCGAGTTTCTTCAGACACTGGACACTCGCTAAGCCTTAAAGACTGGCAAATGGAACTGATGAATCTACTGAGGGGGCAGGGGAGACAAGTCTCAGTAGATAAAGATGCTGGGACCGAAATCCAAGGTACCTGGCCATGAACTCCACCAGCCGCTGGTAGAAAAAACGCCCTGCAAAGAGAGAGCACCTTCGTCAAGACACCGATGCCCAGGAGAGCCGTTCGCACCACTGCCTCCTGACTTGGAATAATCAAAACGGTTCTAGCCCTGGCTGGTGTGGCTCAGGGGACTGAGTGCCGGCCTGCGAACCAAAGGGTTGCCAGTTCGATTCCCAGTCAGGGCACACACATGAGTTGCTGCTAGGTCCCCAGTTGGGGGCATGTGAGAGGCAATCACACACTGATGTTTCTCTCCCTCTCTTTCTCCCTCCCTTCCCCTCTCTCGAAAAATAAATAAATCTTTAAAAAAAAACTGTTTTAGAGCAAAGAAAAAGGCCCTTGGAGTCTGACCTACCTGGGTCAGAATCCAGGCTCTGCCACTTACACCTGGGCGAGTTTGCGTGACTCATTAACCTCTCTGACTCAGTTCCCTAATCTGTATGCTGGGGACACACCAATGCCCACTGCACGGGCTGCTGGGAGAGTTACATGAAATCGTGAGCCCTGGGACAGTGTCAGGCCGAGGGAGCACTCACTACATGTTAACTACTGATACTATCAGGCCAGAAAACTCAGTGTCTGGTTGGCACTGTGAAGTAGAACCTTCCTAGAAAATATTAAAAACCAAACCAAGCCCTGATACTCACGAAAACTCGGAGTCAATGCCGAGACCTGAGACAGGGGGCTATTTCACAGCTGGTGGCTGAGAGCCCGGGTCACGTGCCCGGGCCCAGCCGTCCCGCCCGCCCCGGGGACCGGGAAGCCGCCCGCCCGCGAGGCTGCGGGCCTACCTTCGTGCTCCCGGTAGAACCTCCGGCAGTCCTCTCTCCGCCACACGAGCTCCCTCCTCCGCACGATGAGGAGCTTGTTGCTCAGGATCTGCTGGTGCACAGCCTGGGGGGACACCACCGCGGAGATAAAGGTCAGTCCGAAGGGCCGCCTGAGCCAACAAAAGGCGGACCCGAGGGACCTCGGGGACCCGTGGGAGCCCGGGACTCGGCAGCCTGCCCCTCGATGGGCCAGAAGGGAAGACGGTGGGGTGACGTGAAGCCCTTGGGTCACGCGGCCGAATGTGAGCCCTGGGCGCAGAGGCAGGAGGCAGGCGCTGTGACCGGCCCCACCCCCGTGCCTACAGCCCCTCCAGCCCCTCAAGCCCGAGCCCACCAGACCCACCACTCAGACCTTCATCGGCGTCTCTCGACAGTGGCCCTGCCCTGCGTTCCTCCCCCTCTCTCTACAGCAGCACCCCTGACCAGTCGAAGACGTCGTAACTCGGGTCACACTCTGGTCAGCAGTGTCTGGGTGGTTCTTGTCATTCGCGGGTAAAAGGCGGCCACTCTAGTCCGGTGCTCTGGTCCTCGAGGTTGTACTTCCCTGCCCGCCCCTCCGACTTCCCGGTCTCTAGTCCCACAAACTCAGCCTGCCCGTGGCCCTCAGACACGCCACGCCCGCCTGGGCACCCCCCTTCTGCGGGATGCTAGTCCCCCCCGGATTGGTGCAGTCTCAACCCTTGCAAGCCACCGGGCCTGATGGCTCTGGCCTCCCTTGGCGCCCCGGCGGGCTGACTTAGCAATGCTGCTCGGCTCTGCTCACCCAACTACTGTAAGCGGGGTGCTCAAACGGCCCTCGCCTAGCCCACCAAGTTGCCTTCCCTATAAATCTCCAGGACTGTGAATACCATGCAGAATGATTATGTCACGTGACATGACAAGAGAGAGTTTGCACGTGTAATTAAGGTTACTATCAGTGGGCTTGGCTTTCATCAAAAGGGAGAGTATCCGGACGGGCCTAATTAATCACGTGGGCTCTTGAGCAGCAGAGACCTATCTGGCTGGGAGGCACAGGCGGAGTCAGAGGGACCTGAAGAGCCGTGCGCCGCTGCTGTCTTGGAGACAGAGCGGCAGTCAGGTGAGGGATGCGACTGGTCCTTAGAGACCGAGGGCCATCCCGCCTACGGCAAGGACACAGGACCCTCAGTCCTACAACCACAGGAACCGAATTCTGCCAACAACCCGAACAAGTCTGGGAGTGGATTCTTTCCCAGACGTCCAGACAAGGGCCCAGTCGGCTGACACCTTGGCTTTGGCCCTGTGAAACCACAAGGAAAGAACCCGGCCAAGCCTCCTGCACCTCAAATTCTAGAACTGTGAATTAATAAGGAGCGTTATTTAAAGCTGCTAAGTTTGTGGTAATTTTTATGTAGCAATAGAAAACTAATGCACACACACTGTCTCGAGGTTTGGCTCCTCTTCTTATTATATGGGACTCTTTCTTATATTTTATATCTGCCCAATTTGCTAGCAGGTTTTTAGTCTTCTTAAGGTCTGAGTCCACGGCTCCTAGCTCCGCCTCCACGGTATCCGGCACAGGGCTGCGCAGTCAGCCTGCACAAGGGGCCCGGTGGCACCCGAGACAGCGGCAATGTCCGGGCACACAGCAGAGGCTCGGGGTTCATGCTTACCTCCAGAATCAGCGGGTGGGCGACCGCATCAGGCTTGATCAGGGCCAGGGTGAGCTGCAGAGCCTGAGGGCTTCGCAAGATCGAGGCCATCCCGCTCTCCCGCTCCTGCCATCAGAGCCGGATTAGGGACCCGTCGCGACCGCGCTTCCCATCCTTCCTGCTCTGGAGCCATGCGGCTGTGCAAGCCAGCCGGTGTTCCTGCTGCCGTCACTCAGGGAGCACATGACAGGCACTCGGGAAGGCTGCACACGCATTGTTAGGTACACACGTGCACACGGTTGTATTTAATGACCCATTTGTGCTCATGGGGTGGAGGGAAGGAGTGGCGGAGGGGACACCGGGGCTGCCTGGGGAATACACTGTCTGGTCTGGGCCACTGGAAGCCTACGGAGGAGCGGCCCATTCAAGAGAAATTCCAGCTTAAACACTACCCATCTCTCCCCAGATTCCCTTCCCTCCCTAACTGTCCTCTGTGTTTCAGAGGAGTTACAACTCACACTTCTCAACGGCTGAGCCACGAGGGTAGCACACGTGCTCCCACTGCCAAGGGCCTCTGCCTGGTCCTGCTCTCCCACTGCCCGCAGACCTGGAAGATGGGACGGACAAGAACCGGGATGCTGGCAGGATACCAAGGAGTCCACTGGATACACTCCATCTCTTATCTACTCTTACAGGTTGGTCAGAAACTTTCCCGCCCAGCTCGAGCCCTGTAATACACTCAGCTGTTCTCAATGGCAAGGCTTACAGATGTGCAACTCCAAGTTCAGGGACTAGCTGCAACCGTGTTGTATCTGAAGCGGCTGAAACAGTACTTGGCACAAAGGAGCCTGATTCGTTTTATTGACTCAAACAGGGGTATAAAACTCATTTTCAGCCCTGGCTGGCGTAGCTCAGTGGATTGAGCGCAGGCTGTGAACCAAAGTGTCGCAGGTTCGATTCCCAGTCAGGGTACATGACTGGGTTGCAGGCCATGACCCCCAGCAACCCCACATTGATGTTTCTCTCTCTCTTTCTCCCTCCCTTCCCTCTCTAAAAATAAATAAAATAAAAATCTTAAAAAAAAACTCATTTTCACTCATTTTCACCTAGCAGTTGCCTTCAAAGGCCCAAATGTAACTTTAGGACTGTATACATGTGACTACTCCTTAACTAGGGGCAAGGAGTTCGGCGCTGCCGCCAAGTAGCAACAAGGTGCTGGCCGGATAAAACAAGGTGGGGGGCCGGATTTGGCCCTCAGACCTCGTGTTTGCCACCTGTGGACAAAATGAACCTATATAGTCTTATTCCACTCATACTTGTATTTCCAGTGTCCAACATGCTGTAAGAGCTAAATAAATAATCATCAAAATGACATACAGAACATAAAAGTATTTTATACTCTGGACTAAGCGAACCTGAGATCTAACAGGAACAGATTTAAAGGACACATGGACAAAAGCTAGGGGGAGGGTGGTAATGGGAGGGAAGTGGGGAGGGATGGGTAGGCGGGCTGGAATGGGAGTAAAAGGGAGAAAACTGTACTTGAACAATGATTAAAATAAAATTTTAAAAAAAGAATCTGAGATCTATTCCAACTTCGAACTTCTATTTACATGTGAAAAATGGACCATCTCTGCAGGACTAAGGACTACATCTCGAAACACATCTGGGGGAACCCCGACATCCGCCAACAAGCAGAGAGGGCTTCTGTGAGCACGCACAGGGCCAGCCTGACCAACACTCTCATGTCCCCTAGCCCGGCAGTGGCCCGACAACCACGTTCAAAGTGCTGTCGGGAGCCGGCTCCAATGAGGAAACTCGGCCAAGGTCTCTCCTCCTCATGCCGCCCTTTCTGTACCTTTCAGCCCGATGCTCCCCTTGAACCACAACACTAAGCCCAGTCTACCCAGGACCAGATCGGCCAAGCCAGTCTCCCCAGTGTCCCAGGTGGCAAGTGACCCAAAGCACGCGGAATCTTCACCATATACCTAGGGAGAGACATTCCTGACACCTCCCCTCCCTCACCTTCCACGTTCACGCTATCACTAAATTCTGGTCATTTTACCTAACCAACATGGTGTCTCAAACCCATAACATTCTCCCCTCTCAACCTCCGGCACCAAGTCCCAGACAGTGTCTGCCCTCCCCTGACTTCTGCAGCGGTCTCCTGAACAGTCTCCCCGTTCCTACTCCTGCCACCCTCCGCAGTTTGTTCTCCACACAGCAGCCCGAGAACTACAAATGCAAATCCAGGTATCCTTCCCCTCCTTAACCCTTGAAAGTGTACAATGCTTTTACAGTAAACCCCCACATCCTTGTCGTTGGCTTTGCATGACCGGTTCCCTGCGTCCCTCTCTAGCCTCATCTAGAACCCCACATCCCTGAACCTTCTTCTGCTCCAGCCTCGTGAGCCTTACAGCGCCAGGACTTTCTGGCCTGACAGCGTGTGTATGAGGAGTTTTCGCGGCCAGAATGTGCTTCCTCTGGTTTCGTCCTACTCACCTACTAGATCCTAGCTCACTTCTCCTGTAACACGTTCTCAGGGCTCCTTGCACGTTTTCGTCTGTTCCGTCTTCCCCACTAGAAGGTCGGCACCGTGAAAGCGGGGGTCTGTTTTGCTCAGCATAGTATCCTGGCACCTACACAGAGCGTCTAGCACAGAGTTCGCTCTCAACAGTATTTGTTGAACGAATTAATCAATGAACCTGATCCAGCTATTCCAAGTCCAGGCTGCGAGAAGCCTCCAGGGGAGGACGTGGGTCCTTTCCTAATGCCAACTACAGCTGTCTCGGTTCTTAGTTTACAACAAGTGATGACGGGTCGAGAAACCTGCTCAACTTAAAGGTCACTCCATCAGAGAAGTACAAACTTTAGGAGCTGCCTGGGCATTTCCCCAACACCCGAAGCACCTATTCTATTCCTCTGCGTCCGGAAGGCAGCACGAAAGCCCCTCGTCCCGGCCTGCGCAGCGGGTACCTACAGACCCTCAACTCAGCCTCCGCCCCACAACACGTGAGGCCCCGCCCCCCAGTCCCCCAGGCTCACAATCTCGTACCCTCCCCCGCCCCTTCGCCTCCATTTCTCCAGACCTGCAGCCGCGCGCCCCTGCTCCTGGTACCTGGGACAAAGTTCTGGGCTATTCGGAGCCCCAGTCCAGCTGGAGGGCGGGTGCGGACTCACCCTGTCCTCCGGCAGCGTGGCTCGACCACCAGGCGCCGTGCTAGCCAGCCCAAGCGGGGTCCTTCAGGCGTTCGGCGGGCAGCCCCTCTGGGGTCCTTGCCGTGGACCTCGGGGCGAGCGGAAGCAGAGGAAAGGGGCGTGTGAGCCCGGCAGGTCACTGTGCTGTCGGGTTTATCTGGGCTCAAAACGGTGGCACCTTGCAGCAGGAGGGTCGACTGCCGGTGGCCCTCGTCGCTCTCCGGGACCAGAAGAGAGGCGGACACCGCGTCAGGCGGGAGCTGCCCCTCCGAGCCTAGCTGGGAGGACCCCCTCGTTCAGGAGGGAGGGCGAGCCGGGGTGCCCAGGACAGGATGGGCGGTGCAGGGTGGCAGCCTGGCGGAGCGCAGTGCCCGCCGGCGGAGCGCAGTGCCCGCCAGTGGCGCCACCGGCAGGCACCTTGCCCGACTCTTGTATTCTTTGTCTCATGCAAGGTCGGTGTGCCCAGTGTGTGTCGGAGCTCCGCGAAGGGCTTGTGCGCTCCATCGCGAGGGCGGAGGCAGGCAGCAGCCAATGGGAACCTTTAGAGCGCGCAGCGATCACATAGGCTGGAAGGAGCACAGCGAATTCGGGGTGGGCGAGGCAGGATTCTTAGGGAAACAAGCGGTAAGGGTCTGGAACGTGCCGCTAAGGAATTCGGGCACCGGCTAGTGGAGTGGGTTACCCTGGGGTCTCTTGAAGTCGTCCAGGGTGAGGAGATGAGAACTGGGGTGTTCCTGGAGCGTGGTCTCATGTAAGGAGAGGGCACAGTTTTTTCTTGGAGGGAATCAGAGAATTTGAGAGGAAGGATAACGAATGATAACTGTCATCAATTTAAACATTTTCCCAGCTGACTCTAGTGTGTGCATGTCCAGGTATCGCACTCCTGGAGCGTTGGTAGGAGGTCTGTGGTCCTGGTTGCCACAGGGGTCTTTAGGAAACCGTTTTATAGTTGCTTTGACCATCCTCGGCCACAACCTACATAATGAAAGTAAGGGCAGATGTGATGTTAGGGGGAGACCCAATACATAACTCCCTTTTCTGAGCTTAGGCTCAGAACCAAGAGAAAGAGAGGAATGGCAGGCAGGTGGAGGCCAAATAGGAACTTAATCAATACTGATGGATCTGTCGGAAAACAGCGTGAGAGCCAGATGCACCTGCCTCATACTCTGCTACCGGATTCAATGCCGAGTCTCCTATGAGTCAGACTCACTTAAAACAGTGGCAACCACAAAAAGAATGTAGATAGTTAACAGAACATAATTATCCCAGCACTGCCCCACACCCACAAAACTTAGAAAACAGGCCAATCCCCAGCTCCTAGCAGATACCAGGCAACATTTTGTCCTAAGAAAGCTGTCAGCTGGGCTGGATGGAGGAGGGCAAAGGGGGAAATTGGGACAACTGTAATAGGATAACAATAAAGAATTTTAAAAAAGAAACCCGTGATCCTCATTGGTATCTCTGGCAAGGTGAATAGGCTAGAAAGTCTTCATTCCGTTTCGCTAAGGCTCAAGGAATTCTATACCAGTGTTTCAGAGTCTCCAACTTGTAAGTCTAAACTCTGTTGGGAGAATCTCGCTTTAAGAGGTTAAGTATGACGTATGTTTATTGTATGCTGAGGGGCACCAACCTGGGCCTGGGCCCGTGTGTAGACAGCCGTATTAGTGGCAGCCCCAGGCAGGCCAGGGTCTTTGAGAGCCAGGCCTTTCTTTTTCGCCCAGCACACTGAAGTTTCTCAATACTGGTTCCCCTTTAGGTCCTCTGTCTCTGCCACCCCCGGGCTGCTCTGAGGACAGGCTCTAGGGACAGGTCCCTCAGGTCCCCACCTGTGAACAGTCCTCAGGGGCCGCTGCCTCGTGCTGGTGAGCGGCTCAGGCCCAGGACACCTGCCTCCTGGGAAGGAAAGGGGTTCTTGACCCCATGCATTTCTGCTGACAATTACTTTCCGGAGGTTTTCGTTTTAGCTGAAGCTGCTGTTCCTGTTTCTAAAGTTCGGTCCCCTAGGGACCTGGTGAGAATCGAGACTTCTTCCGTGTGTTCCTCCAGATACTACCCTCAGCTTCTGGGTGTGTCTGGCGAGGAGGAGATTTCTTTGCGAAAGTTCTCTTTTGACATGTTTCTCATTGCTGTTCCTCTACTGCTTTCCAGAAGGCTCACCGAGTGCCTGCCATTTTACTGGTGGGGAGAAGGAAGACTCATGGAGCTGGCTCTTTGCCAAGCTACAGAAAGCGAGGAGGAAAGGAGCCCCTTTAGAAAGTCTCTCTTGCCCTGGCTGGTGCAGCTCAGTTGCAGCATCGTCCCATGTACCAACAGACGTGGGTTCGATGCCCTGTCCGGATGCATATGGGGAGCCACCAATCAATGTTTCTCTCGCTTTCCCTTCCTCTCTAAAATCAGTAAACATATTTTTTTAAATTAAAAAAAAAAATGTGCTCTAGCTGGTGTAGCTCAGTGGATTGAGCGCGGGCCTGTGAACCAAAGGGTCACCGGTTCGATTCCCAGTCAGGGCACATGCCTGAGTTGCGGGCCAGTCCCCATCTGGGGCGTGTGTAAAGGCAACCAGTTGATGTTTCTCACATTAATGTTTCTCTTCTCTTTCTCCCTCCCTTCCCCTCTCTCTAGAAATAAGTAAATAAATGCCATCTTTAAAAATACCCCACACACTTGCTTATAAACCAAGTGCCCAACATTCATCACGGCTAACCGAGAGAGTGTTTGAAACGTCTCAGCTGAAATGTGATGCTGTGGTCCCCACGTTTCTCACCTGGTCTCTTTTATGTTCTGGGCCGTATCACCAGATCCAAACATTCCTTTGAGTCGAACGTAATCCTCCACCCCTGCCAAAAGGTTAGAGCCACCTCCTGTCAAACTTCCAAAATGCAGCCGAGCGTGCGCCCCACTGGCGCCCACGGTAAGGGCGGGAAGCAGGGGCCACGCTGTGTGTGCCTGGCTTCCTGAAGCTTCACACGCATGCGTGTGTCGTTCCTTCGTCCATGCTCAGCTTAACGTGTGTGTGCGTGTTTCCCTAGGGCCGTAACCAAATGTTTTACGTAAGAATCTGCAATTTGTTCTAATAAAATCCTCACTGCGGATTGTGTGAAACTCTAAGTCTCAGTTTCTTTGTCTGTAAAACAAGGCTGTACTTATGTTTGTCGAAAAACTTAAATGAGTTAGTGCTTGTGAAGCATTTAGAAGCGTTAATGTGGCCAGGCACTACTCCCAAGTATTGTGCTCAATAAAATTCTGAATCTCTTACAGTACGGTTAACATTTCTCAAGCCAGATCCTGGTGTATTGAATATTGAAAGTCACGTCTCTCGCCTGACGCTCACTCAGCTTCACAATGCCCAGCGCCACCTCTTGTAAGTGTGGCTGCTCCCGAGGCACCTGTTCCCTCGTGCAGACCTCCGTGGCCGTGTGTTCGTAACCCACACAAGAACAGGGAGCCCACGGCACAAAGTCATGTAGTCTTGGGGTGAGAACACAGAAGAGCTGATCTTTTAAAAAGATACGTCTTAGTAACTGAGAAAAACGTTCGCCAGCCAGATTTCCTGCTGAGAATCATTTACTGAAGCAAATCAATGAGTTTGACGCTGACCGTTGGCTTCCTCCAGGGCCAGCATTCTCCTCTACCGGGGGTGTACTTTAAGAGGCAATCATTCCATGTCACTTGATCATCCAGGGATTCAGCGGCTCTGTACCTCTCCGCGGTGTAAGTTCAGGAGTTTTCCTGCAAAAGAAGTATGTGCTTAGAGAAATCAAACTTGGGGAAGTGAAGAGAAAGACTACCACATCTGGGCCAGCAGGAGGAATGCTAACAATTATTCTAGGAATGCCGGCAGACTAGAGACATTCTCATTTCGCTGGGGAAGAGAAAAAGCACCGTGGCAGTGGGCAGGAGAGCGAAGGGTTGGGTGCCGCTGAGCCTTCGGCCCCAGGGAGAGCCGTGGGCGGAAGAGGCGGAGGGCAGTCGGAGAGCTTAAGTTACGATCCAGGAGCGTGGGCCATCTCTCTCAGGATCTTAAACATCCTTAAAGTTTTCGGCAGTTTTGAGGAGAAAGGTTGATTTCCAGAGAGTTCACAGTTTTTGTTTCTATTTTGAGTGATGGATTATTTTATTTTCTAATTAGGCGTGACTGCCGTAAAGAAACGTTATTGATTTTGTAGGTTGCCCATGCACCCAGTGAATTTGGGACCCCTCTTCACAGTGTTAATAGTCTGTGATTTAGCCCACCCCCGGAGTGGTGACTGTAGTATCTTCGTTTCCGCCATGGGCAGACTGAAGCCCCATCCAGCAAACAGACGAAAACGGAGAGACTGGAATGAAGCCACACGGGCACTGCTTGCTCACGCCGTGGCCCCTGGGGCAGGTGCTCGGTGGCCGTCTTCTCACCAGTAGCTCCAGGCACAGGCTTTGGGGCTGTAAATTCTATGTGTGGCCTTGGCTGGGCCACGGTGCCCGGATATTTGGTGTCACACTCGGAATACTCCTGAGAAGTGTTTTTGGACGAGATGAACCGTTAAATCAGAGGCCTCTGAGGAAGGCAGGTTGCCCCCCACCATGCGGGTGGCCTCGTCCATCAGTTGAAGACCTGAACAGAACAAAGACTGCCCCAAGGAGAAAGAAATTCTGCCAGAGGACGGCCTTGGATGCCACTGTATGGATACCCTCCAGTTTAAAAGCACTTTTTTGAAGTTAGAGGTTTGAAATGGACCTAGGACCAGAGGCTTATTTGACAAGTGGCCCAGCTAGAAGAGGAAGGGCATTCAGCCGGATTTCCCATGAATTAGCCCAGGTCACGAGGATCTGACAGAAGTAGGGATTGTGTGAGGTCCCATGACAATGACCCCCAAATCATAAAAAGTCTTAGGATTTCTCTGTAGTGGGAGCAGAGAACATGCCAGTCGTGGATCTCCGAGTGAGCGCTTTGCACGCGGGTCTGGAGTCAGATGAGCCTTGTGAACTTGGCACTGAGATTGTATCAGGAGATACTGTCATAAAATTATTACAAAATTATCTAACTGTCTTTTTATCTGCTTTACCTGCTACCTTTTTATTTTCTCTCCCAACATGATTTGTCCCCGCCCCATTTCCATGCCTCGGAACAGCCTAGTGACCTCTGCGGTGTCAGCCGAGCGCCTGCTTGGCCCCATGACCCTCGACTCGCAGGCTCAGTATCCAGAGCAGGGAGGGCCAGGCAAGGCCCAGGCCATTTGCGCTCAGAGTAACCTCCCACTCGGTGTGTTCTGTGAATGCCCCGGGAGTTAGACGCGGCAGGGGAGAAAAAGGGCGGAGTAGATGTTCTTTACTGTCGAATTATCAGGCCAAAATACGTTTCCCAGAAGATGTTATTTTTGAGATGGCTTGGGAAACCTGAACATGAAGTATGCACTAGAAGATGACGAGGAACGAGTTAGGTGTAGAGCAGCATTTTCGGTAACGGAACGTGTTCTCCTCCCAGGGATGCGTGCACCCTGAAGGGTGGAGGAGGGAAACGACGTGATGTCCGAGACAGGTGTTCATGAACTTCAGCAAAGAGACGTGGCAGAGGAAGGAAATGTGGCAAACGCTGTGCTTTGTAGAATCTATCCAATAGGCACATGAGGTTTATTATAGTATCTTTAACTCCATGTATGCTTGAAATTTTTCATAACACAAAATTTAAAACTCTCTACAACAAGGAGTGCTTAACTATATTTGGTCCACTCCTAAAAATGAAAAGTAAAAGTGGCTTTACTCACGCACGGTCCATCATGCAGTTTAGTTATGCTCTGCTGTTCATATCTGAAAGAAATTGTATGTTAAGATGATTACTTTTGCTCTAGGATATGTTATGACTAAGTTTTAGCTGATAAACTTTAGCTAAGTTTGAGAAGGACACATTCTGCTAATAGTGAATTCTTATCTAATAAAATAGTTTAAAATATCTATGATATAGATCTTTATTTGTCTAAGAGGTTGACTGTATAAAACATGCTCATCCTTAAATCAAATCTGGAAAATTCTTGATTATTCTCAAAATATTCTTGAATAGTTAAGTAGAAATGCAGACTATTAGGGAATGTACATTAAAATTAAAATGTGCATTAACAAAAGTTAAGGCATTACCAGTGACCTTAAAGCAGTAAAAATGATTATAAAGGATACTGTGAACAATTGTACACCAATAAACTGGATAACCTGGATGAAATGGACAAGCTCCTAGAAACACATAAATTATCTAATCTGATTCAAGAGGAAACAAAATCAACAGACCTATATTAAGAGATTGAATCAGGGGGAAAAAAAGCCGTTAAAGCTCAGGATCAGACGTCTTCATTAGTAAATTGTAACAAACATTTTCAGCAGATGTAATACGAATCCTTCTCAAATGCTTCTAAATAGAAGAGGAATAAACACTCCCTAATCATTCTGTGAAGCCATAATTACCACAATAGCAAAGACAGACAAAAACATCTCAGAGAAAGGAAATGATAGACAAGCATCCTTTATGAGTATGGTGCAAAAATTCTTACGAACATACATGGAAGCTAAAAGAATATTAAAAGGATTGTACACCATGATCAGGTGGGATTTTTTCCTATGTGTGCAGGTGATTCAACCTAAAAATATCAACCAATGTAATAGTATCATAGCAATAAAATGAGGGGGGGACGTGTTTTTCTCAGCTGACCCTTGCCCAGGCCAGACCACACCCTGGGGGTCTCCATTTCTGCATCGTGTGAGTGGGGGGTCGCCTTGGGAGCCTAGACTAGGGAAGCCTGAAAGACGTGGAGGAGCGAGTAGTGGAGTCGTCGCTGGAGGGGGGATGTCACCAGCAGGACGCATTTCTGGGGAGTCATTCCGGGGTTGGCCCCCTTTAGCCTCCTGAGTGGAGAGGAGGGAGAATGAAATGAAGACTTACAGGATTCTGAAGCACAGGTGGCATTCGCCGTTGTAGGTGACCCTGTCACTGCCGCAGATGGGCTCGCTGGGCTTGATGTAGGAGACAAACCAGCACTGATGGACATTGCTGGCGCATTTGACCTGAAGGTGAGACACAGACTCCTGCTCCAGACGCCCTCCTCCAGGTCCTCTGGCTGTCACCGCTGGTGGCGGGTGACGCAGGGGGACAAGGGGCACCAGACCAGGAGTTCGGGAACCAGACTTTAGAAGCATCAGAGTTTGACCCCTGGCATTTACCACCACCGACATAGAACACTTTCATGCAATATAACATGCCCAGATTTTCCGTGTACAGTGTGCACTGTTTTGCCCAGGTTTTTGAGGGGAAATAAGGAGGTACATTATATATGGGTGGTACCTGAATACTTTGCATCTCTGTTCTTGTGGTTTGTAATGATTTGTTACATAATATTTCTTGTACCATATGTTCAAAGATAAATGCTAAAATTCCTTTATAATACAAAAAAACAACTATCTAAATATAAATAAATAAATAATTTAAAAATAAAACAAAAGATTTTTCTTTTCCTGAAAGTTTGGGCCAAAAATGTGAGTTCACATTGTACACAGCAAAATCCAGTAATATAGTACAATATAATGTATTGTAACACAACAAAATCTGTGGACTTCCCAGCCCGAGCCATAAATTCCTTAGGGTAAGAATCCCTGTCCTACCAGCTGTTAACTGCAGTTGTGAGCTCAGAGGGGAAAATGTCTTTCTAGGTTAGACTTGCCTTTACGACATTACTGAGCGACTTGTGTGTGTGTGGTGCTTCAGACAGCAGGGGGCTCAAGCTTGCCACGGCAGAGTTAGGGTGTGGAAGGAGGGGTGCAAAGCGGACACAATGCGAAGTGTGTGGGAGGCAGGATGTGTGACTTAGCGTACCCCCAGCCGAATGTGCGCTGTAGCACAAGACAGGCCTGAACTTCAGCCATGACTTCATCACGCACTTGACGATGCAAAATACTTGCCTCCCATCATCCCACCAGGGGGCTGTGAGAACCGACGGGGACCGTGAATGGGAAGAGGGCTCGGGGACGTACGAAATGTGCTACGCATAGTTGACGACTCAGCTTTTAGGGTGGCATTATACCCATGCAAGTCCCCTCTGGCCCCCAACTCCTGGAAGGAAGAGCCGGGGCTGTCAGGAAACCGGGCTACCCCCCAGTCCTGTGGCGGGGAAGCAGGGAAACAGAGCTCACCTTTGTCTCTCTGAGGCTTGCCCCTTTGCCCATAGGAACAGGGAAGTCTGCAAGACAAAAACGGCTTCAGGAGGGTTGCTGCTCTGTCTTCTGCCCCCAGGGAAAGTAGCTAGGGTGAGGGAGACCCTGGCTGGCACGCGGGCAGCCTGGGTACCCTCGGAAGAGGCTGACGTTCCTCTCTGATGCACGCCACCCTCTAAAGAAGGGGACGGCTGGGACGCTTCTGCCCCTCCCCCTCCCGTAAAATGGAGATCATTCCAGCCCTTCCACTTCACAAGCTAATAACGCTTTCTACGACCCCTCTCAGCCGGTTTTAGAAAACACCCTGTAAGTTACAAATCACAATAAAATAATTATATTGAGATATCTTAAAAGATGTTGGGTTTCATTAAGACTTAAATATTCTAGTGGGGAGGGGTGGGAGGGGGGACTGGATTGGGAGTAAAAAGGAAAAAACTGTATTTGAATAATGATTAAAATAAATAAATAAATAAATAAAAATTAAAAAAAAAAAGACTTAAATATTCTGCCCTGGGTGGTGTGACTCCACAGGTTGAGTGCCAGCCTGCGAACCAAAAAGTCACCAGTTTGATTCCTAATCTAGAGCACGTGCCTGGGTTGCAGGCCAGGTCCCCAGTAGGGGGAGCAAGAGGCAACCACACGATGTTTCTCTCCCTCTCTTTCTCCTTCCCTTTCCCGCTAAAAAAAAAAATAAACAAAATCTTTTTAAAAAATTACATATTCTGGATCCAAAGCAGTCTTTGCAATTATTCATATAGATGTATATAACATTTTATTACATATAATATATTATAATATATATTATAATTATCTAATATAATTATTATAATATATAACATCAGCTCTAGATTGGAGGGAGCAAAAGTAGGCTTACAGTCATAATACAAATAAAGAGTACAGTAATTAATAAACTATAAAGATAAAATTTTTCACATACAACTGTAAACCTCCTTCACCTACCCCTGTATGTCAATTTTCTTAAGATAAAATGCACATAACACAGAACTCATGTATGTAAAGTGCACAGTTCAAGGTCCTTATGAAAGTCCCGGAGCTGTGCGGCCATCACCGCGATCGGTGTCAGAAACCTTCAGCTCCGGAGAGAAACCCGTGCCCACCGGCAGCCGCCTCCCCTCCCTCCCTCCCTCCCTCCCTCAGCGCCCGCCCCCTCTCTCCTCCCCAGACGGCCACCCCTTTGCTGTCTGTCCCTTCTGGAAACTTCATGTAAATGCAGTCGTATGATGTGCAGTCTTTCGTGTTGTCCTCTTTCCCTCAGAATAATGTTTTGAAGGTTTATCCCTGATATGACGTGCATCAGTTCTTCACTCCTTTATATAAGTGAATAGTATTCCGTTGCATGTGCATATGTCCCCCTTCCTTTATCCATCAGTCAGCTGGCGGACTGCTTGCTGTTTTCCCTCCCTGGCTACTACTACGAGCAAGTCTGCCGTGAGCGTTCGTGCCGCGTTTCTGCGTGGCCGTGTGTCTTCCTTTCCCTCGGGCACGGAGCTGCAGATGGAATTGCTGGGTCATGCGGTGACCTTTTGAAGAACATTTCCCAAAGCGGCTGCACCATTTCACATTCCCAACAGCAATGTAAGAAGGTTCCAGTTTGCTAGCATTTCTGCTAACACTGGTTATTATTTCTTTTTTTAATGACAGTCCTCCTAATGAATATGAAGCGGTATCTCATTGTGGTTGTTGTTTATTTTTAAGATTTTATTTATTCAGCCCTGGCTGGCATAGCTCAGTGGATAGAGCTCGGACTGTGAACCAAGCATCGCAAGTTCAATTCCCAGTCAGGGCACATGCCTAGGTTGCAGGCCATGGCCCCCAGCAACCGCACATTGATGTTTCTCTCTCTCTCTCTCTCTCTTTCTCCCTCCCTTCCCTCTCTAAAAATAAATAAATAAAATCTAAAAAAAAAGATTTTATTTATTCATTTTTAGAGAGAGGGGAAGGGAAGGAGAAAGACAGGGAGAGAAACATCAATGTGTGGTTGCCTCTTAGGCACCCCATACTGGGGACCTGGCCTGTAACCCAGGCATGTGCCCTGACTGGGAATCGAACCGGAGACACTTTGGTTTGTAGGCCCACACTGAGTCCACTGAGCTACACCAGCCAGGGCTCGTTGTGGTTTTGATATGTGTTTTCCTACTGACCAGGGAGTGAGGCTGGGCCTCTTTTCATGTGCTTATTGGCCATTTGTGTATCTTCTTTGGAGAAATGTCTGCTCAGGTACTTGGTCTTTTTAAAAAGAATAGACCATTTTGAGTCTTCTTATTATTGAGTTGTACGAGTCCTTTATATATACACTGGATACTGGTTCGTTGTCAGATATGTGTTTTACAAACAATTTCACCCGTTCTCTGGGTAGTCTATCACTTTATTGTTATCTTTATTGGCATCATTTGAATCACTAAAATCACTTTAAATTTTGATGAAGTCTAATTTACCTACTTTTTCTTTTTTCCTTCTGCCTTTGGCATCCTATTTAATAAGGCTTTGCCTCACGCAAGGCCATAAAAATTCACTCATATTTTCTTATAGTTTTATCATCTTACCCCTTATATTCAGTTCTGCCATTCGTTTTGAGTTAACGTTTGTCTCTGACGCGAGGAAAGGGTCCACGCTCGTTCTTCTGCACGTGGGTGCTCAGTCCACCCCGCGGCGTTTGGTGAAAAGACAATTCACCATCGAGTCATTTTGGAGCCTTGTTAAAATCAACCCACCCTAAAAGTAAGGCCTTTTTCTCTCTAGATTCTCAGCGCTATTCCATGGATCTGTATTTCTACCCCATGCTGACTCTACGCCGTCCTGATCCTGCGCCTCTGTCGCAAGTTCTGCCATGGGAGGCAGGAGCACTTGCCACGTTCTTGTTCTTTTTCGAGATTGTTTCGGCCACCTCAGCCTTGCATTTCCACACGAAGTTTAGGGTCAGCTTTTCCATTTCTGCCGAAGAAGTTTATTTCCTGTAGACAGTTTGTAGCTGGATCTTGTTTTTTTAAATTTAGTCTGACAATTTCTACCTTTTGATCAGATTGTGGAATTCACTCACATTTAAGGTTTTTATGATATAGCTAGATTTACATCTGGCATTTTATTTTGTTTTCTGCGTGTCTCATGTCCTTTTGCTTCCCTACTCCTTCGCTGCATTCAGTGAATATAACCTAATGTAACCTTGTAATTCCCATAATAACCTTGTCTGAGTATTTTAGTAGTTGCATATGGCTTACCACACATATCTTATTGGAATGTATCTCAGATCTATACTATTTTAATTCAAGTGACATTTGGAAATGCTATTCTTATATAGCTCTATTCCTTCTCCCCTTCTTCTTCTCCTTTTTTTTTTTTTTGCTTCAGTTTCTACACCTGTCACCTGAGGAATTAGGGTTAAATAAAACTGAACAGCACGTCCGCTTCTACCTCTAATTTCCCCACGGTCCCGCAGACGCTGCAGGGAATGTGGGCAGAGCAAGGACATGGAACTCACCCACCGCGAAAGCAGCCAGCACGGAGATGGCCAGGACAAGGACGGTGTTCAGGAAGGTCCCCTTCATGGTGGCAGAGGAGCTGTGGGAAAAATGCAGCTTTTGACAGCAGGACGGAAAACTCTCCGTGAGCTACAAATTCCCACAGAGACCCCCTCATCCACCAAGAAATGAAGCTGAAATACTTCAAGTGTGTTCTTGCCTCGAGCTACTCGGGACGGATGGTGTCTGGTGAAATGAAATCACTTAATTCATTTGCTTAGAATAGTTCAACATTAGAGAAAAAGGAACTCAAAAATAGAATTGTAGAAGATGCCAGAAAAAAAAAAGAGGTCGTAAAGAATATCTTCAAGGGATCTTTTGATGAAGAATAAGCACCAAAAATGTTTCGATGAAAGGTGTAAAAGTTGATACTTATCTCTGAAGGAAGAAGGGCAGTCGCTAAGAAGTTTAGTGACACAGGTCAGGTCACCAGACAGTAAGAAACAGGAAGGGCCAGAGCGCCAGACACTCCCATATCACCGATCTTCCGGACATTATCCCTTGGGCATCACCATTTAGTAACTAATGACATGGTGGAAATGAACACCACAGAGTATTTATCAACAGCTTACTGGCATTATCAAAAATGCTACAGTACACGCCAATTGGCATTATCCGCAGGTTTCTATACATTTTTTCCATACATTTTCCAGGCAGATTCTGTACCTAGGTGATTTTTGCCCAAGTCCTTCCCTGAGTAAAACCAAATAATCAATAATATAACTCTTTTCCTACTCAAAAGATTTCAAAGTAATAAGGCCACCTTACCTGCTGTGACTCCTACGGTTTTTCTGAGAAACTGGCCAGACAAGATCTTTTCTACGTGCAGTTTGCTGGTAATGAAACGACACTGTGTGTGGGGCGGGGGCGGGGGCGGGGCGTAGTGTCTTCCCAAGGTCAGGATGCCTAGCAGTGGAAGACAGTGAGTGACCTTTAAAGCTGGGAACTGTTGACACAACGCGAACCCATTCCTTCCGACTCCAGGCTGGGCCTGTCACACCGGATCCCGGAGTTCCCGTCTGGGTGTTCCCAGGGTGGTCTGTGCCGTCTGCTTCTGTTCCAAAGTCTAGTGGTTCTGGCCAGACCCAAACCCACCCAGGCGTCCCGCCCGGGTTTCGAGTTCCCACATTGTTATCTCTCTTGCAACGGTTGTGTTCCAGGGCCGCGGCAGACGTTCACACAGTCCTGCCGGGTGCCACGTCTGCAGGGTTAGCAGGGGAGACCTTCCCGATAAGCCAAGAGTCGCAAGCAGGTCACGCCCAGAGAGGGAAGCTCAGGGATAAAAGCCAGCAGAGCCAGCGTGTGCCACGGGGTCCCGGTCACTGGCGGCTTCTGAAGGTGGGGGTGGGGGCATAGAGCTCAAGGCAGGTGGGCGTCCCAAGGGGGGCTCCAGCATGAGCCCTGGCACCGCCGGGTTCCCGCAGCTGGTGGTCAGAGCTCGGTGTTTTTACAGCCCACAGGGGGTGGAGGTCCCGCTCACACCTGCGTCCAGATGAAGTCCTTACCTGAGTGTCCCAGCTTGTGGTTTTGGGTGTCCCCGCCCCTCCCAAGAGTGTTGCACCCCATTACCTGAGTCTTGACATCACTGTCATGGCTGACAGTGACTCCAATTGGATTGCCCAGAGTGTTCAAAAAGTCCTCTCTGCTCTTGCTTTAAACACGCAGTGTCCACTCCACTGGGCACGGTCCTGGCCCTCGACGCAGGGCCCACAGCCCGTGTCCTGGAGCTGGGCGCCCCCCAGGACCCCACCCGCCCCCACCTGCCCGCACCAGTCTGGGGCTGCCCTCAAGGTTGGGCCCCTTTTCCTCCCAGCCTTCGGGTTGGGAAAAACTGTCGTGCCCCAACCCCAGCTCTGCCCAGCCCGTCCATCCCCTTCCCCTCACCTTCCCCTCCCCAGTCCCCCCAAACCCCTTCTTGAGTCCTGCTAGTTCCTTCCTAGAGCCAAGGCCAAACTCTGCTCCTTCACATCTTCACTGTGTGATCTCGGGCAAGTTACTTGGCCTCTCTGTGCCTTGGATTACCCGTGTGAAAACTGCGGACAGCAAAAGCGCCTGACTCGGGGGAGGGGTGGGGGCCGCGCCTGGGTTCCCTCTGCCTGATGCTCTTCCAGGGGTGTAGGCAGGGCGAGCTCCTTCCCAAGCACGCGGGTGAGAAGGGTACCGCCCTCCGACCCAGGTTTTCTCCCTGGCTGAATTGTGTGCCTGGCTGGCAGGTCCGTGGGAAGAGGCGCTGCCTCCTCCCCATTCCTGAAAGCAGCCCGAACAGATGGTTGCCAGGTGGACTGTTCTGGACACTGGCCCCGGGGGAGGGTTAGGGGAGGTCAGGCAGGAGGAGCCAGATTTGTCACAGCCCGCGGGCTGGACGCCAAGGCAGACAAGATGACCTTTCGATAGCAGAGGCATTCGCCTCCTCCCCAGGGAGCCCCCGTCCACCCCGCCACCAGCCTCTCGGCCACTTCCCCTTCTGGGTGCTGGGCAGCCACTGCTCGCTCGCTCCAGGGAGGCGCAGCGGAGGCCAACCTCCCCAGAGCCGGGAGCCAAAGAGGAGCACCCCTTCCACTCCCTGCCCCGGAGAGCCTGGGGCACCTCTGCCTGTGCCCTAGAGCCAGGGGACGCCCCGCCGACTGCACCCCAAATCCAGGGTGCGCCGTACCCACCCTCACCCTCCCCACAGAGTCTGGCTCCACACGTCCGTGGCCCAGGCTCCCTGCTTCTCCCACTGTCGCCTCCACCCGCCCTGCTACCCCCGGTCATTCAGCCCTCAGAAGGGGGTGAGTCCGGGCTTTGGGGTGAGAAGCTTCAACGATGTGGAGCCATGTTTAAGAAAAAGAGTGTCAAGAAACAAAGAGCCAAATTAAGTCGTGTGCAGCTCTGGCTACACACGGGAAAGGTTACGGCATGGGCGTGTCGTCCCCTGCCTGCCCGGCTGCGGCAGAGGGGCCGGCGCTCCGTGCTGGGGAGACCCCAGAGTGGGGAAAGAGTGATGGCTGGCACCTGGGGAACCAGGCGGGTCACAAAGTGCCCCGCAGTGCATTGCCGGGTTCGAGTCCTGCAGTGACGCTGAAGCAACTTGTCCCTGGCACCCAGTTGGGACATGGCTCCTGAGTGCACTGGCGGGTCACCCTCGACTCAGGAAGCCTCGGGAGAACCCACCTGTGCCTCTGGGCGGTGGCCGCTCCGCCGGAAGCTGCAGGGTAGGCACTCCGGCCTCGGCCCCCTCCTTGTCTCTGGGTGCGCCAGGCCTGGGCGTGCGGCGAGAACAGTGCTGGCCGGTCACCTGTGAGGGGCCCCGCTTAGAGCACGCGCCCAGAGCTCCTGAGTGAGGGCCCCGGGGTGTGCACGGACCCGCCAGGCCGCTTGGGGTGAGGGTGCTCCCCCGCGCCCCGCACTCTGCGGGACGGCTGAGGGGCGCGGCTCTGTGGGTGCTGTCGCAGCTGCTCACCCTGAGTTTTGGTTCCCGGAACACGTTCCTTCTGAGCGGTCACACCTGGTAGTCATGGAATCCTCGGAGGCCTGCGGTCAGCCCCCCTGGCCTGCGGTGGAAGGGAGGTCAGGGTCAGCGGCCGCGGGCGGTGGGCAGACATGCTAATGACACTGCGTCGTTCTCCAAGGGCAGCCAGAGTCCTGCCGCTGGCCCAGGGCCACTGGACTCACAGATTCTTTTTTTTTCTTTAATTTTATTTATTCATTTAGAGAGAGTGGAAGGGAGGGAGAAGGAGAGGGCGAGAAACATCTATGTGTGGTTACCTCTCACATGCCTCTAACCGGGGACCTGGCCCACAACCCAGGCATGTGCCCTGACTAAGGATCGAACTGGTGACCCTTCGGTTTGCAGCCCGAGTTCAGTCCCCTGAGCTACACCAGCCAGGCCAGGGCTCACAGAATCTTAAACCAGAAAGTTACCTTCTACGGAATCTGTCAAGCTCAGTTTTGTTTAGTAGAGTTGAAGAATTTTAGGATGGAGTGCGGATTCCCTTAAATGGTACCTCTTTCTACTACGTGGAACAAAAAGTCCCTCAAAACACCACCTTCCTTTAAAGGGAAGCTTCAGAGGTTATTGGGGGACGTAAATTCGGGTTCCAGTCCTGCGCGAGTGGCCTTGACTGAGGACATGAAGTCTAGTTCTGAGAAGTCAGTGTACTTTCTCAGCTCTGATCAAGATGATAGTCCTTTTTTTTTTAGATTTTATTTATTTATTTTTAGAGAGAGGGGAAGGGAGGGAGAAAGAGAGTGAGAGAAACATCAGTGTGCGATTGTCTCTCACACCTCTCCCCCACTGGGGACCTGGCCCACAACCCAGGCACGTGCCCTGACTGGGAATCGAACCAGCAACCTTTCCGTTCACAGGCCAGCACTCAATCCACTGAGCCACACCAGCCAGGGGTACGGGATGGTCTTCAAAGTGTCACGTTCAATCTCTCTGAATTTGGTGCCCACTTACCGTATTTTGAAAGTGACAGGTAAAGTTCTTCGTCATAAATGTAAATAGTTACAAATAACTGAGTTCCTGGCTCATTCTCTGCTGCGTTAACCTCTCAGCGTGATTCCCCCGACTCGATGAACGACTTCTCCCACTACTCCAGTCCCCTACCTCGCTTTCTACGTCCCTGTTTCAGTGACCTCCATGGGAAATGCAGGGATGCACTCCTTTACTTGCTCCGTGTGCATTTCCTCCGGGAGACGAGATAGGAAACCCTGTGAAGGGGCAGGCCCTGTCTTGTCACTACCCTTCCTTCCAGCTTCCTCTCCCGAGGTTTGAAACGGGGACCAAGAGTTCGGTGATTTCCAGGTGAGCCACGGTCACGGTGGAGGGGACATGGGCTAATTCTGGCCACTCTGCAACAGGTTCCAATCGCTCTACATCCTTACCCCACCCCCCACAGGTCAGGCCCATGCTCCACTGGGTCCTCGTGTGTTTGTCAAAGCCTGTAAGATGCCTTTAAGAGGGTTCGCACCCCATTTTCCATTCTGTCTGCCTAGCGAAGCAGCCGGGTAGCAGCCATGAAGGAAGCACAGGGCTTGCCCGGGGCTCGGTTTCTGGGCCTTGCTGGTCAGTGCTGCCTGGCTGTTCTTTCACGTGAGTCAGAAAGTCAAGGACTTACTTTGCTTATTAAACTGCAGAAAGTAGCCAGGATGGGCCCTGGCTGGGTAGCTCAGCTGGTTGAAGCGCTGTCCCATTGCGCCAGGGCTGTGGGTTCGATCCCTGGTCGGGGCACATGCAGGAGTGAGTACACACAAGTACAGGGTGGAACAATAAAGCGATGCCTCTCTCTCTCTAAGTCAATTTTTTAAAAAAAGTAACCAGGAAGGATTAAAGAGAGCTGAAGAAAACTTTTATTTATTGAATGCTAACCCTGAAATAGGCAGGGCATCATAAGTGGTATATATTATAGATATCTTCAAAATACTGTTTTTCATTTTTTTATTAAATATTTTATTTATTTATTTTTTTAGAGAGGGAAGGGAGGGAGAAAGAGAGAGAGAGAAAAACATCAATGTGCGGTTGCTGGGGGTCATGGCCTGCAACCCAGGCATGTACCCTGACTGGGAATCGAACCTGCGATGCTTTGGTTCGCAGTCCGCCCTCAATCCGCTGAGCTATGCCACCCAGGGCATTCAAAATATTGTTTTGAATAAAATTTCATGTGAGTCATGAAATTGTTACATAATTTAACGTTTTCATTAAACAATCTTTAAATTCCCAAAACACCGATTGCTGAGGATCAAGAATGTCCTTCTAAGACTGCTGAAATGTCACTGCATCCAGACCACCCATTCGACCCGTGAAGAAACCGAGACTCAAATGAGAGAGACACTGGGTGCTAAGATGCCCTTTCCCTGCAGGGGGCGGGTTTCCACGAGCCTCAGCGAGCGGTCTCA